TTGTGGTACTCTACGCATAAGACACTGTAGGTATGTATATTTTAGAATATCCACCCTGTGAGAAAAGGTCTGGCCCTTGCACTGGGCGGGTAATTTACAGTACAAGCGAGGTGACGTGCCTGAAGGCGCGCACCCTTATGGAAGAAGAGACGGGATGAACTCCCGATCGCCACGGTGCAACACACTTCACCTCCAACCACAACCCGCCCCAGAACCACCACGTTCAATACAGCCACAATTATATACACAAACAGAGAGAGAGGATCTGGGCAACTATACGGAATCTGGGCAGTCTGGACATGCAGACATACAACAGTCTGGACATAGACGCATACAACAATCTGGACAATCGCAAACAAACATCTGGACAGCCCAGGCGGGCAGTCTAGACAACCCATAACCCAAGTTTACCCATTCATTTTGCCCTGCAGCTTCGTGCAGGGGGTGATCTCTCTTCATCCTCACGGAAGCTAGCCCCTAAAGCCTAAACTGCCAAGACTCAGGGTTCACCACTGACACCGCCGATGCAACCACGGACGCAGCAATTAAGCAAAATCCCTTTTTTTAAAGTTTATGTACTCATTTTTTTTTCTTTCCTTTTCATCGATCGTACATGAGCATGTGTACCTGCGGAACCGATAACAAATTGGACCTGTCGGGCATAACATTGTTTATGCGGATAAACCTCATACTACGAGAGATCTTCAATACAAGCTATTAGGCAATGGATGCCACTTGAACCGGTACCTTGAAACGACTCCGACTCCCCGAAGTTTAGCCATATTCTATGCATTCAATTGCTATAGAGTGCATACAATAACTACGTACAATAATAAAAAAATAAAAATAAACACCAAAATACGTTTATTCCTACCTTGTATGGAGAGAGTGCGCACAAAAAATACAATATCGCGAGCTGCTGCAGGTCCGGATGATTTATTGATATGATATAATTCTCAATGCTATGGCTACCTTCCTCTACACAAATTATTACTCAATTCTATTTAGTAACTCACGCAGGAATACCCCAGGTAGGTATCTTACCCACTGCCTAGCCAGAAGAAAGAAAGATAGCGGAACTTGATCTTGCATGTATAGTTTTTCCGGATCATCACCGCCGGTCTGCACTCAAAGCAAAAGCAAATTTAATCTATCCACCCTCCCTCCTGATCGCATGGTACTCTACTTTTATCGCCAAGCACTACGCGCACCGCAGTTTTACCCCGGCTTTTTATGATCTGGAATCGGACTTAAATTGCTCCGACTTTCTATGCCAAACTGACATGACTACATGTACGCTCTCTGTCTGTTACGAGGTCGAAACGACCCCCCGAAAGACCCCATGTAGGAATTGATCCATACTCTCACACTTGCACTCATCTCTCTAAATAGATTTCCCTGGGCGGTCATAGCGATGATCATCCTCGCGTGTGTACAGTGGTGTACACGTGTATGATACAATACATCTCAAACCCCATGCCCTTCTCTTGGACATCGATCCATATAGGAAAATCTTAACGAGAATCTTGAGTTTTTCCGGTATGCAAGGCAAGGTATTGAATAAAACGAACAACACCCTCACCGCCCCCTTCCCATACATCATACACGAATATGGAGCACCAGACTGTTAGGGTTTTTGAATCGACTGACATATGCGCGGCTATCGATAACCGAGAACCCGATAAGCGGCACACGACAGATTAGTTGGTTAGTCGGTTTAGTCAATCGAGTGACATACCATGAATGTATGATGGATACAATTGCTATTTGCTTTTTTTCTCGATGGTTTTGCTTTTGATCGTCTCGCCGTCGTCGGTCAAGTACACTCTATTGATGGCGTACAAACTGCAGGAAGGGGGAGGGGATGGACCGTTACACGAGCTGTGCGTGCGTGCGTCCAAGGGCCAAGGAGGGACAAGGCTCAGGCACAGGTACAGGTACAGGCACAGGAACGGTGGAACGTCAATACGAAGTAGGTAGGCATTCAGCATTGGTATGTACTTTCAAGCTATTATCTGCTTCTACCCATAACACAATAATGATATCTGATAATAATAAGTCAGCAATTCCCAATTCCCAATTCATGGCATGGCTCATCATCACGCATACCCTGCACCATGCCCATGCCATGACCCTGCCACGAGTCGAGTCCAGATACCATACCCGACCCCGCAAAATCGCCAAAATAAAAATAAATTACGTTTCCCTCTCACCCTGGCCCATAATCATCGCATTGCGGTTACAATCTGCTCCGGTTTTTTTTTTGTTGGGGGGAGGAACTCGCGAAAAGCTGATCTCCACACCCCCTCCCTCTCCGGGTCTAGCTCAGGTTGTATATTGAATTATTCTCTCCTCTTTCAGATCCTATAGTCATATCAAGGGCCAGTATAGGGTATATTGGATCATGCTATGATTCCCTTCCAGGGGAACGGTGAGGGGGGTCGAGGTGGTTCTACTGTGCTGCCTCATAGAAGGAAACTATCATGGCCATACGTATGTAGCACAGGAGACAGGAGATTATGAAAATCGAGTCAGTTGATCACGCGAACAAAAAATAAAAGACCTCAAGTTTAGTTCAAGACAAATTTAATAACAGAGGTAAGGTACTCCCCCCCCACCTCCCTCTCCACAATGAGAGAAATGTGCGTATACTGTAATAATACGCAATCGGTATATATTGACCAGATTGGAAAATCATGCGGGGGGGAGGGGGGAGGTTTGAGCTTCCCGGGCTTCGGCCCCCCTATGTCCTGATCGGCCCGACCGACGTAAGTATGTCCGGAAGGAAAGGCACGGAGCAGTGAAGTGAGTAAGAATAATAATACAATACGAAAGAGTAAAGCAAGAAAGGGCCAAAAAAAAAAAAAAAAGGAGAAAGCACGCTGGAACGCAAGGGTCCGAGACATAACAGAGACCCTTTTCCCTTCTTCGTCCTCCTCCTTATCCACCTCCGAAGAAGAAGCTCGAACGCGCGCAAAAAGATCGCGAGAGAGTAAAATTGTAATAAAAAAAAAGATCGCAATACCGCAATAATAATAATACCAAGGGGGAATGGATACTTTTGCCCTTACTGCTAGTACGTTACACATCATGAAAACGGAACCTCGGTTGACCACCACCCCCTCAAAGTGGAGACTTCCTACCTACCTTGAAGTGGAACCAGAGTCTTAAAAGAGATACATGGAGAGGGATCCGGAGAGAGCGAGAGTGAGAGAGATTGAATGTAATCGACAAGCCCGAATTGAAGCCAGGGATGTTCACAATAATGGGTGCCAATAATACCAAAACAATAATACCTACGTACCAATTGGCAATAATGGTCATTTACGCATTTCGAACGCATTTCGAACGCATGTCATGTACGTACGGGTACCCATCATGGGACGAGTGCGAGAGAGCGCTATTCGCGGCAACGTCAATAATTTACGAAAAAACATTGGCCCCTTTATTTCTCTACCAGCCCTGGAATTTTACTTGTTCCTCCCTCCTGTGGAGTGCAGTGCAAGGATATGGGGAAGAGGGGGGGGGGGGGGGGGAGTGGTGGCTCAGCTAGCAGGTCAGGTACCCATACCCTCATACATGTTACCCTAGGTACCTTGGAGCTAGGCTAGGGCTGACTGACTGACGAGCTATGACTACATTTTCCAGTTCCAGTTCCAGTTTCCCGCTAGGGTCCGTCAGGCACCAAGAACGGAGAAATCCAGGAACAAGGAACCAGTTGGGAAAGTTGGCGAGAAAAGTTGAGAGTTGAACGTTTTGCGAAAAGTATAAAAAAGTAACTTTTTTTTTGAAAGTGAAGATAATTATGATATTAAGATTATTATGATATGTTTGCTATGTAATACCGATAGCTAATATATACTATCAAGTTAAAACCATGCCCGTTCCTGCCCTGCCCTGCCTTGCCAGACCCGACCTGCCCACTTTGACCCCCCCATCCCCATCCCCATTTCCCCCTCGCCCCAAGAGGAGGGAAAGAAAAAAAAAACCAGACCATAAATGCAGTCAAATACAAAATAAAACCAGTAGGAAAAAAAAAGCAAAATCCCGTGTCAAATAGAGAGAGCACGGGGTAAAAAAAAAGCAAAACCCGGAAAACATGCGTACGCCTTGACTAATAAAGAGAGATATGAGGAAAGATAATAGATCAAAAAACAAGTAAGGGAAATAGTTAAAAAATCAAAACCACTAGCTCCGGTCCTTTATGAATGAACACCCAAAAAACAAGGAATAGGAAAAAAACAAAGGAAAAAAAAGGAAACAAGTAGAGATAGAGAGATAGAGTAGACTAAAGGAAATGATGATTGATGATTGGTGGTGGTGATACGAGAAGAATTGTTGTTTTCTCATCATGCTCGTGTGCTCCCTTTCTCTCTTCTTCTCCGTCATTCCACCAACTTTCCCACCACCCTTCTTGACCGCCGGTCTCTTCCTCCTCCTCAATTCAGTTGCATGTGCATGATGGTGTTTTTGTTTATCTGCCTCGTACGTTTTACTCGTTCTGTTTCGTTCGCCCGTATCGTCTCGTCGTTTGTGTGTGGTAATAAGTAGTGGTAGTAGTAATAAGTGATAGTGATAGTAGTGGTAGTATAGTAGTGTGGAGATTGTTCGGTAAGATCGAGGATCGGCAGACAGCTTCGAAAGAGAGAGCCAGCTCTCAATCCCGCATGTGAGTAATGGAGGTAGCAATAGCAATAGCAATAGCAATAGCAATAGTAGGAGTGCGGCGGTAAGTAAAGATTAGATTCCCCGATGCCCACCAATCCGGCTGCAAAGTGCGCGCCGAACAGGTCTGGGTTATCGATATCGTAGTAGTAGTGGTAATAGTGGTATAGTAGTAGTAGTAGTAGAGTAAGGCCCACGGCAAATGCTGCAACTGCGGGCCAAGAAGTAGGAGTATGAGGTCGAGTAGTAGTAGGAGGTAGTAGTAGTAGGAGGAGGTGGTGGGGTGGTAGAAGGCTGCTCAGCTACAATCAAGCAGCAGCAGCCATCTGTAGTCCCTATTTGCTAGGCGTGGGAGGAAGAGGCCTGTTTGGGGGAGGGCCCGGGCATGGGGGAAGACTTGATGGGGCCGGGCCATTGAAGTTGTATCCCAGCGAGCTCAAAGAGGTCGGGTCGTTAGGGTTGACGAGGGTTTGTGAAGGGGCAGGCATTGTGTGTATGTGGTGGTTGTGAGGTTGTTTGGAAAGGTTGTGGAGTTGTTTTGAACTGGAGGGGTTGTGGGTTGTACTTGTAGTAGTAGTAGTAGTAGTAGTAGTAGTAGTAGTAGTTGGTAGTAGTAGTGATGTAGTAGTGTGGTGCAGTAGGCAATTGAATTGATTCGATGTCTGTTCTGTGTGGAGAAGTAGATGTCCGATGGGGGGGGATGCTTGATGCTTATATGTTACTGGCAGTTGTTGCGTAGTGCTAGTGTGGTAGTAGTGGTGGTGGTGTAGTAGCAGTGTGGTAGTAGCACTGGTCGAGACGAACTAGCCTGGTATGATGATGATGCTGCTGATGATGATCGAGGATGGGGTCGGAAGGTCTGGAAGTTTATATACCGGAGGAGCCTGCTGAAGACCCAGACCAGGGATGGTGAGGCAGGGGGGGGGGGGGGGGGGGGTTGTGTGGTAGTGGAGAGGGCTAGGTTGTAAGTGTAGTAACAGGTTTATCCAGCTATGGAGTCCAGGCAAGGGAGGCGGTTGTGAGTATTGTTTGGAGGCTCTGCGACCTTAGCATCCGGGGCAAAAATAGGCGGTGCAGCAGCAGCAGAAAGGTCAATCACTTGAGTGTGAGTGTTAGGTTAGACCAGGGCTAGGCCAGGTACCACAGAAAGCTAGGTAGCAAGCAAAGCGGCAGCGCAACCAGAGCAATAGAGAGAGGGTTTCGGATAGGGTAGGTAGGGAAGGAGAAACGAACCAGTCCGAAAAAAAAAAAAGGACCTATTATGGGGTGGGGAGGGGAGGGGTGGTGAATAAGGTGATGTGATGTGATGGGAAATATGGGAAAAGGGACACCAGAAGCTACTACTGACTGACTGACTGACTCTCTACTTACGCTACATAGGGAAAGAAAGGGTGCTGATGAATTAGTGGGTCTGTAGAGTTTGCGCGTGTTTCAGCCCCAGGTTGTGTCGGATGCAGTACTCTACTCTGCTCGACTTACGGGGTGGATGTCACTTTGTGGTCTCTCTATGATGTCGAGGGAGATACGATGATGGATGGGGGGAGGTATCACTCGGCCTGCCCGCGGGACCGCTGTAACTGTTACTGTGGGGATAAGTTGGGCGTGTGTGTGTGTGTGTGTGAGTGTTTGTGTGTTATGTGGAACCAAACCCGGTGCAGGTGGCTAGAACGCAAAAGCAATGATACGAACTGTTTTTTCCTTTCTTTCTTTCTCCCTTACCACCCCATCACCGCCGACGCCGAGTGTTTTTTTTTTTTATGATTTCGAGATTTGCTTCGGTATGTTATGCCCCATGCAGGCCGTTATATGGGATGGGTTACAGCTAGTTACGGGGCGGGGGCTTGATTTAGGGCAACATTGAGTAAACTACCGAATTACCGGCCCTGGATAGGTTTCTTAGTGCCCTTCGTACTCTAGACTACGGGACTGTAACTAGCTGGGACCCTCATTTTTTTTTTCTTTTGCGCGCGCTGATACGACGATTGATGGGCACATCCCCCTGTCTGATCCTGTCCGTCTGTTGAGCTTCCCTCCCTCGTGGTGGTCGACGGAGCACTGACGACATACCCGCAGGGGGATGGGATGAGATGGGAACGCACGGCGATTCGAATGGAGAGAGGATCTATTATGGGATGGGATGGGATGGGATGGGAGGAAGACTTACTACGTAGAGTATGAAGAGGACGGTTACACACCCGTACTGGGAGGGTGTACGCTCCGGTGAATTGACGTATTGCCTTACATACTCCTCCAACCTAGCCAGCCAGACGGAGAGAGACACTCGGCATCACTCGATTGTCTACTGTTCTGATACAGTGATATTCATGGAACCGGCGACGAAATAAGCTCACGGGATAGAGTCTGTTCTGCTCTACTGTGCTCTCCCCTTCATGGCCATAGATACAAACAAAAACCCTCCACTCTATTACTCTATAGACTAAGCTACAGTAAGTTGCAAATCTATTTTTTCTCATCAAGCTTATGCAGCCGTGATTTCGTGCTCTTTCCCCCCGTACATAAAAAGGGCCCTAATGTAAGGCACTTATACCTGCATAAGCTGCGCTCTCCTCCACCAGCCAGCTAGCCACAGCTAGTAGAGTAGTAAGAGTCGTGCTGCAGGCAGGTTATCCTCTTCAAACGAAACGGATTAACCTCGGCCGTAATGCATCCATCTGATCGATCAGCTGGACACTCCTCCTCAACAAGGGGACGGAGAGCAATGGGATGGTTCTGTCGTGTGCGCGCTGCATAGCATGGCATGGCATGGCATGGCATGGGCATGGGATGGGATGGCATGGCATGGGCATGGGATGGGATGGGGAGATGGGGTCTGTCTGTAGCCTTCCGAAGAAAGAGATGTGTCTTGTGTGCCCGTATAATGCCCAGCCAGCCAGGATCATCACATCATGGCACTCCAAGGCATTCAAGGGGAAAAGGGCAAAAAAAAAAAAAAAGATGAGTGAGGGATGGTGAGGGTGAAGGCGTTCCTGATCCGTTTTGTCGGGAATCTGCAGCAGCGTCGGTCGGCTAGCTGCTGGATGCTCTACGGGGCTACTCTACTGAAGTCTGACTACATATCACCGCCTGCTATGAATAAAGATTGCTTTTGTTTTTTTCCGCCTCTCTACCACTCTAATGCAGTCTCGAACATTGAAGGACTCACCGCTTGATTATATTATTGTTTTTATTGATATTTGTTTGCAGTTATCTCTACGTTGGGCAATTGCAATTGCAATATGTCGTATGATACCCCAATCCATCCATACCAGAAACCGCAATAACGGGAGATGTCGGGTTTCAATATCGACCGCCGGCCGGTCCGAATTAAAGGGCGCGGAAAAGCAAGCAAAAATATTAGATGTATGTATAAAAAAGGAGTTTTTACTTTATTACATTCGTTTGGCGTTCGGTTCAGTCGCGGGTCGGTCGGTCAGTCAGTCAATCGGGTCGGTCAACCCAATTGAATAAAGAAAAGAAAGAAAAGAAAAAAGATAGGAGCCGTCAATCAATCAGTTAGTTGGAGGACGCAAAAAAGCATTAAATTCACTTCCCCGGAAATGAAATTAGATACAAACGCGCGCAGCCACTCTAGCTAGGCGAAAATGCCAAAGGCAAGAACAAGGCAAAGAAAAAAAAACGTTTTCCAATTCCCAAAAAGGGCAAGGAAAAAGAAACTTCCATTTCTCTCCTCTCTCCGCAAATCATGCCCTCCCCTTCCCCCTTTACCCTCGTGCGGTATGTACACCCAGAATATCGAATTAAACCAGCACCACAAAAAAAAGGAATGACGGCAGCACTAGTAGGATGAAACCAATTTCACTCTATCCGGGGAGGGGGGGGGGTCGGTCGCGGCGGGCGGTGACGAAACTGGCCTGAGGGAGAGCTGGGGAGGGAAACGGAACAAGGTGAGGCCGCGGTGGTCTTTGTCTTTGTTGACCGAGGGAAGGAAGAACGCCCTGCGCTGCCAAGGGGCGGTCAAGGTTCAATTATTGGATTGAAGGCCACACCAATCGTGGAATAGTACGACTTTTGAAAAAAAGGGTTTTTTTTCGCCAGCTTCACGTCATGTCAGGTACCTGCAGCAGCTAGACGAGAGACGAACTCAAACGCTAGCACGAACTGTTTTAGCTCTTCGGCCCAAGTAGGCCGAGGAGATGCGAGCTTCTTTCTTTGAAGAGGGAGATCCCTGGAAATGGACCTAGGGAAATTGCAGTAGTAAAAGACGAGAGAGAAAAGAGATGCTTCTACATGATGAAGTACATTGTCTAGGTATAACGTATATGCCATGTAGGCTACATGAGGAGTAGAGTATCGTAGGTTCCGCCGATACTCCCCTCCCCTCCCATCTCATCGCATCTCATATCGCATCGGCATACAGCATCCAGATACCGGTACATTTTACCTGCATCGTGAACGCCTAAACCATATCTCTCTCACTCACTTACTCCGCTTGTGTGGGGGTCCCGTTTATTTTTCGAGATATACTTTATCCTCCGCCCTCCGTCCCCTCCTACCTATCCCCTCTCCACTCTACCATGAGTGCCCCTCACTTCAACCTTTCATACACCCTCAACGGGGAATATCAAGCGAGAAAAAAAAAAAAGAAAAAAAATTCAATCTCGCGATGCGATATTTGACAGGGCCCGCCCGACAATCAATCGGGGCTGCCACGTTTTTTCCCTTTCTTTTCTTTTTTCACTTTTTTTTTTTTTAACCTCCCCTTGCTTAAATTCGTTACACTACAGGCAGGGCACCACCACACCGCACCTCGACCTTTCCGGAGGCTTGGAAGAGGAGGGGTGGAGGCAGCGGTCTTTTTTTTGATATGTAGACTCCACTACAATCTTTGTGCTACCTCACACACCGCAGCACAGTACAGGCACAGGAAAACGAACGCCACAGTGGAGATGCGTGCCACAAGCACATCACAATTGTCAACGATTCTGTACGTCTGTTTACCCAGTGACCAGTGTCGCGGAGATGTTACCGCTGCCTGTGGCGCTTTTCTCTCTCGCTAGCTAGGTATCGTAGCTGCGGACTGTTAGGTCTGGGAGGGTCTCACCGCCGCTGTCGTCCTTCGGTTCTGACGGGACCAATGAGAGCGCGGTGGAGATGGGCCGAGGTATAGCCGGTGGTACGAACTACGAAGCCTTCATGGCGGCGGTGGTGGTGGTGGTGGTGGGTATTTCTTTGTGGAGTGGGGATTTGGGCTAAAATTCGTGATTGTCGATTTTTTCCCACCTGTCTAGTAGAGGGTGGGCGCGGTAGATTTTTGAGGCGGAGGGAAGCATATCCACTCATTTCTTCAATCTCCGGGAGATACTGTGATGATCGTGACGAGCGATTGACAGCCGATGACTGAATGTTTGTGAACATCTTGACTACTTTCTGCTACGGCTACTCTACGGGGAAGTAGAATAGAGTAGTGCAGGTACAAACAAAGTATCTTCACGCTGAACCCATATGAAACCCATGATAAACAGGAAACAACCACCCCGCCCCTCCCAGCCTATCCCTCCACTGCATCTCGCATCTCGCATCTCCCCTCCCCTCCACTGCGTCCCTCATCCCTCATCCCCATCACTGACTGCATAACTCAACTCAAATACCCCCCCAAGCCACCACCTACCACATTGCGCGCACTGCGCTGCTGGGGAGTCTAGACGCTGCAGCCACCACACACACACACACACACAAACCGCATGCAGCAATGCAGGGACCAACAAGCACGCGTCCGGGGTAATCAGAGGGAGTCTCGAGATGGAAGCACCCAGAGAACATTCCACCACCAACCACAGAGTGGCAAATTACCTCCTAGGGGGGGCTTAGGTACATGCGCTACTAGGGGTAAATTACTGCTGAAAACTATTATTTGACTCTTGGTTGCTTGCGTAGACAAACATCAACCGGCGCGGCCGTCACGTCAGGAAGGAAATTAATGAGCAAAGAGAAGGATGGAAGAAGAAGCTTGGGAATTAAAGAACACTCTGGCCGGACGGACCCAGCTGGCCCAGGCCCCTTCCTTCCTTTCTCTATAGTACTCTAGATCTATTTTCTCCGTGTTGGCTTGGGAGTTGGGTTGGGGTTACGCTGGGGTTGCAATCGCAATTGGGGTTAGGGGCGCCAATTAAACTTCCAAACAGCTTTTTGCTTTCGCCGGAGCGGCCGTTGGGAGAAGAGGTAGGAAGAAGGGTTTCTATCTGAAATCAAACAGCACGCGATCTGGACGCCCGGCCCATGCCCGCGACAGGTAATTAACGTTACATGTTATACTTCTAGACAGAGTACGGTACCGGATCGATCCAGGTAGGGCATGTAGGTTAGGTATCGGATTTGCGCGGCGGCTGGCAAAAGTTTATACTGCATGTTGTATGTAGACTCGACTCTCTCTGCAGGAGATAGGGGGGGGGGTTGGTTCGATACTGACATGTATCCACTGATAGAATATGCTGTAAAGTGCATAACTCAAATACACCCTTACCTACATACATGTAGGTACAGACAGAGACCGTGGGCCGTGATAGACGAGCGACAACATCAAACCACCGATTGATCCTGATCCTGATCCTGATCCTGATCCTGAATCTGATCCTCCCTCCCATCAAGACATGCCTTCTCTACACGCCCCCGGCCCCCCCTTGTAGGGTAGCCCTCCCTTAGAAATAGGAGAATATGGGTTTTTGAGAAAAGTCCGGGCGCGCCGCGCAAACAAGCATCTGTCTGTTTCTGTGGCGTCTAGAAGGAATTTGTTTGCAGCGTTCGGTTCGAGCTCGTTGCCTCTTTCGGGCGCGATCTACAGGGGCAGGGGAAGGGAAACAAACAACCGATCCGCACGTGGGAATTGCATGAGCACCACAGGTAGAGTAGGTACACGGTTGCTGAATAATAATGGGAAAGGGACGCGAAATGGCAGGACGCCTGTGGCTCCCCTGACGATTCGCGCGCAGAGTCGTTGACAGCTACATGCTACTCTACCTCAGGCTGCGATGAGGACTGTACCCAGACAGTGACCTCACTCACTTCACACCACGGACCTTCGCTTCTAAAGAAGTTTCCGGTACGTCCTTTCTTATTGTCTCTGCACATACCCTCGATCGATAGCCGCCGTAAACTGTAAAAATAAAAAAAATAAAAATAGGTCGTTCCTTCTTTCTCGTGATCGCCGGTCGGTCCGAGAGATAAGGCTTCCTTGATTTTCTCCCGGGCCGATTGGGGATCCTCTGCTCTATACCGGATCCACATGAGTACCTTGAGGAGCTCAGGACGACGACGACGACGGTGAGTGAGTGAGTGTATCTGCGACCCCCCACGCCAGGCGCGGCAATTGTGATAAATAGATGGATCGTTTGCGCCATCCGACGCCATCCATGGCTGCTGGGGTGAGGTTACATCATCGTCGAGCTGCAAGAGAGGACAAGAAGATGTGCTACTATCAATACATCTAGTCTATGGGTCTATGGCGGTGGAGCTCTAAAGGCAAAGACATAGACAAAAGGATGATCTATCTGAGCGTAACCCGGTCCAGAGAAAATATCCACAGAGAGCACGTTTCGGATATCGTATCTCTACTCTCTCTGTCTCGGTCAAAAGCGCACTCTACTCTACACCACTTGAGCTAGACTCGTAGAGTAGGAATGTACCTGGAATGATTACTCGACCTGCCCGTTTTATTTTAAGCTTTTCTCGCGAGCGATCGGAAATACCACACAGACTCGGGGATCGGGAGGCCGCAAACCCAGAGCCATAGAGAGCCAGAAAGAGCTAGATGGAAGGGAGGTAGAGAAAAGAGGCAGCAAGCCTCCTTCGCTTCGCTTCGAATTGAATTGTCGTATCGACCGCCGCGCGCGTGGATGAGCTGCCCACTACTCTATCTGAGGGAAAACATCAGCAGTTAGCGATATATCCACGGATATCACACCCGCATCAGGAACAAAGGTGGTTCATGGGGGGGGGGGGGGGGGCTGTGTGTGGGGGTACATACATACGTCTCTCTCATAGGTACTTTACTCGAGATGGATCATATCACAGATTATCACTATGCTGTCCGGTCCCGGTATCGTCAAATCAATAAAATCAAAAATCTGTGCTCGTTTAAACAACCCTTCCAATCCCTTCCCTTCCTTCCTTACCCGAGGATAGGCAAAAGTAGGCAGCAAAGCTAGCTAGCCCCCCAGCCCTCGAATCCTGAATCCTGATCCCGTCCTCTGCGCGAGATCGTGAAGTCCCCTGCCGGCCGGTCAATAACCTTCATGTACTCTCGTGGCCACAACTTAACCGGACGAATGGGCAACACCTATAGACTAGTTTTTGCCACTGATCCACTAAAGTGCTCTCTCATGTTCCGGTACGCAGGAAGGGAAGGGAAGGGAAGGGAAGGGAAACTGGCCTGTTCGTCGTCGGCGGTACCTGCATGATCCCGATGGTTGGATGCGATGCGATGCGCACATACACGATGCGATGTGTGCGACTCTGACTACCTGTCCTAGGCCTAGGGACAGGTTACTAATGTAGCTAAGCATGGCGTTTTTCATACGAGATGTCACTCATCTCCCGCGAGCTTATCTTTTTCGCAAGCTCCCTAGCCCTTGCAATTGAACCTTCGAAATGTCATCGTTTTCGTTAGTTATATTGCGGGGGGCGCACACTGAGTTACTGCACTCTGCATCGAGATGCCATTTCTGGGAATATGAATTATATATTTTTTGCGGTTGGGGCGGTAGTTTGTTGATGTAGCTAGGGGGGTCCAATGAGCGAGCACTCACTCTGACTCCGACACCCCCGAAAATTAGCCCCCCCGGGTCTTATCCGACGTTCAGCCCTTTGCTTCCTTACAAACCGTTGAGTTGAGGCTCAACTCTTTGCCTGTACCTAGCTGTAGCGTCCCTTCGGCCACTCCGCGAACGAGCTCCTCGTGACCTCATCTCTCGTACCTTTTTTCAACCTTACATACATACCCTGTGGCTAGTCTAGGTACCTAGCTACATAGCTAGCTTCCATTCATCCCATCACATCCCCCCCACCTTCACCGCCCACCAAAGCTTCATCTCCCACCAACCCCTCCCCGAGAGAAATAAAAAAACGTGCCTGGATTTTTTTTTCTTCAAATCAAATGCCTACCCTACGGCGCTATTGTCGCGTTTCAAAATACACGTAAGCCCGTGCACACCTTCCTCTCTCTCCCCCCAGATATATCATATTGTATTGTATAATTTTGCCTGAAGCACGGGGCACAGGCACATTATACAGGTAAACACCACTCACAGGAATTTTTTTAGAGTTCTCGAGTGCCGCATCTACCTCGACAACCCCTCTGACCTGACACCCTGGCTCACCAATGTCCTTCCCCGCATTTTTGCAAGCGTGAAGCCCCTCGTCCTGCCAAAGCTCCACGAGGAGCAGGAGCGCGCGAGACTGGGGGGTAGAAAGGCTGCTGTTGCGGTCAAAGATGTGATTGTCGAAGGTAAGTAGTTAGTAAGGGTTCACTTCTCATCACCAGCTAGTACCTAGCTTACATGCTGTGATGTCATTGATCGCGACTCTCACGCAAACACCCTACTAATCCAAACGACCAATCAGATGATTACGAGCTATCCCTCTTCCTCACAAACTCGGGCACGCGCCATGCGGTCATGACAAAGCAGAAATCCCTCCCCACCGCACCTGCAAAGCTGCACTCAAACTCCTCAAAGCTCACCGGAGGGGGCGGAGGTGGAGGGGGACGAACACTCGTTGAGATCCGCCGTGAGTCGTCGCCGCCCGAAATTGACCTTGACTCTATCCCCATGGCACCCAGCACTGGACCAATCATCGTACCAGACGACGACGGCGATCGCGATGAGGAGGAGGGCAGCACCAGGGTCCTGGAATCGGCCCGGCGCAGGAGCACCCGCACAAAAAGCAAACGTCCATCCGCACTCGATGACGACACCCTACCAGCACCTCCACCTCCAAAGCGCCACAAGACCCCAACCATTACAGTCCCTGACGACGACGACGACGACGACAACCTCCCCTACCTAAGGGAGGAGGAGGAAGGAGATGATAAGAAGAAACTCGTTCTCCAGACATCCTACGAGGGCTTCAACATCTACTCCCACATTCTATGCATCGTCGTCAAACGCCGCCGGGGTGACGCGAGTATGAATACGAGCGCGGGGAAGGGTAAGATCATGGAGGAGTGGATTGGAATGAGTCAGGCCATCAGGGACGGCGATGAGTAATCTTACGGTCAGTAGCAGTAGTCGTAGGCAAACCGGGCTGGGTATGTAGCTAGAAGGGACCTGGACTTGGTGACAAAAAGTCAACCTCGGCGGGTTGGGTTGCTTCTTTTTTTAGGAGCCTTTCTTTTTGAGTGCTTTAGGTTACATACCCATCTACCCATCTCATGGGGAAACCGGAACGTGGGAATTCGCATAACAGATCCGGGGCGGGGGTGAGAACTCAATGAGGGAGGAGCCACGGTCATACGTAATGACATCGCTTTTTTGTTTTTCGCTCAGTTAATGGCGCGTCTTTGCATAATAATTGGCACGCACGCGTATCTGTGGCTCATTGACCTTCAGTTCTCAGCTCTCAGCTGCAATTAACTAATGCGCTTCTTTTCAAAGGGGTCTTGCTTAGCCTATATTGGTAATAAATGCCACTCCCCTTTTTTTTTCCTTTTTGGCGATCCTTGAGAAAGAGTGCTTCTACGTACGGCTGAAATATTGTTTTCGGTAGGTAGAGAGTATGTAAGTGTAAGGCTGAGAATGTTAATATATTTTATTTCGATCCCCCCCCTGGCCTGGCTGGAAAACGTGGCTGGCTGTGGAAAAGAAACATGGTAGGTAGTAGTGTGGTGGCTTCTAGAATCAATTACGAGCCTTGTTGTATATGGACCTGCAGATATCTACCAGGGTCGCTGTTGCAATGCTCTACTTTGGTTCTTCCAGGCCCTATCGCTGAAAAGTAGTTATTTTCTTATCTGGGTACTATATGTTCAAAGTGGCTCAGAAAAGTGACACTGCTTATTTTCGTCCCAAGACTTTCAGGCTTCCCCAACTTACACCTGACAAAACATGCTTCCGGGTATGTCTCTCATGCCTTGTGTTGTGTGTGCTTGTTGAAAACAAAGTTATCCCATACATGTATAGCTCACACGAATTATTCCCCACTCAACTCGAACCTCAGGGTTTTAAACAAGCACTTCCGGCTTATGTACCGTCTGGTCTCTCCGGTGAGCGGTGTGTAAATATCTCATACACGTATACCGCTGGTATCCGTGCAGTACTGTCAAATTCAATAGTTGATGGGAAAGGCCATTAACATTACGGAAGATTCAACCGGGTACTTGTCTTACAAAGGAGAGCTCGGATCGCTATTGATCTTTCTTCCCTCGTTCCCGAGTTCAAGACATGATCAGGGGCCATTATTAGATAACCGTACCGGACGAACGGCATCGCTGGGCGAGAGAGATGCTCGAGCGCAGTTATAAACTCAGATCGTACCTTTATGTACGTCTGCATAGGTTATTCTTCTGTGGTGGTCAGATCAATCAACACAAATAGTGCATATCGATAGGGGACCGGGGGATTGGTGAGTTATACCTCTGGGTACAATTCATGAAGTAACCATTTCGTAAGAGCAACACAAATGGCAAGATCTGGAAAGCGAGTCAATGATGAAACTGTACTACAGACAGGGTAAGCGTGAATCACTGAGAGCAGATACCGATTGATGTCTTTTTTTCGGGCTACCCGGTCGAGTGATGGTTCATGACCCGCTTCGTTTTCAGCCAGCCTTGTGGTCAAGCAAATAAATGGCTCACCTGTGGATTCAGACTGGACGCCATAAAACTCACTTATCGTGAGCGTACCTGTATCCCTGCCGCGCTTGAATGTGGTTTTGTAGGGCATTTCGTTGGTAAGGTTGACCTTTGTATCCTGGAATTTCGACCCTGATGCGGTTTCGATAGGGCGAAATGATTATTGATTCTTAATGTTTCCAAGAACAGCTGATAGTGAAACCTAAGACGTGTGCGTTATGTGCGCGGACTATGAGCTGGTAATCAGAATATACGCTTAGTCGACTGTCAGGGTTTGTAATAAAACACAGAAGGACCAGGGTCAAGTTATTTTATATCAGAGTTTTAAATCTCAAGTGTAAGCAAGAGCCAATGAAGTAAAAAAGAAGTGTGGGACTTGAATTGATGCCAGGACAGGGGGGTAAAATCCGTTTTGGTATAATTATAGCTTATTAGAGGTGTCGTAACGCTTGTGAAACATTGTTAATTTCCCTTTCGGTGATATATTTAAAGTGTGATTTTTGAAACGAAAAGCATGTGAGATTGGACCATAGACTTTTCAATTGATCAATTGATCAAATGATGTTATTTTGGGGCTAGGTCTGGGGTTTCGACAGCTTTGGATTGTTTTGGGATTGATCTGCGGAAGTAATCAGTATCAGTATCTGTAAACTTTAGTCATCAGCGAGGTAAAATCGATAAGAATACCATATCGTCTATATATATATTGATATATAGATGGAACAAACCTACGCACTTCAAAGCATATTCGTAAGTCTAGGGACGCGAATCCATGTACCGGCGTTTCGTCCCATCAAGGCGGTTTCTGCACTCTCTGAGGTAACTAACAGTGGGTCATGCGTAATTGTTCGGTCTAGAACTACATTATAAGCAGCGTATAGATTGACGGCAACGGGGCCGAATGATACAATCCGGAGAGCAACTCCGTTTCATACTTAATTAGATGGATTGGATGAAGTATCTAGAACTTTTTTCGGGGGCAGTTGCGGCATATACAAATAAACTCACGCCTATCAACGGTTAGCAGAATTAATCCATACAATGGATTGTAAACTCACCTAGTGGAACCCCACATCGGCGCAAGGCTGCCTTAATTGTCCTATTTTTGAACCACTTCTTTGAGCTCTCCCGGGGTCCCGGTCGGGGGGACACTGAATTAACACTTTCGATAATACCGGGCCCGCCCGGAGCCAAGTGATAGAATGATACGGGATAAAGTTGATAGTCTTGAGCCCTGGTGGTAAAGCTCAACTCTCTGGTAGATCATCGCGCAGTGAATATAACGTGTCGTTTATATTACAACGTGTCACCAATCGATCTCATTCTCGAATCCCGAACGTGTTCATCAGGAACGATAACACATATACATATAGCTATATAGGGTGAGGTGTTGGCAGAGTGTGGCTATAGAACACCATAATAATATGCCTTTAAATGTTTTCTTAACGGTGATCATGTGCCCTTTTTGAAAAAAGTAGCGATATCTTAAGCACGTCACGCACTGTCACGCACAATCTACCCCACCACGCTAGTCCGGTTTTCAGATCTCAACGAATAAAAAAGTCAGGTAATATCAGTTTAGACTTAGTTTGTGAAAGAATCTTCTAACATCACTGTGCCGTATGTGTAAAGTTCATGACAAACCGTTTTTCGATAGCTAGCTGTAAGCTAGCTGATAGGTAATCATCACCGTAGGACAACCCTAACCCACACAAACCGAAATCGGATTGTCATTTCTTTTGAGAACTGTTTAGAGAATAAACTAAACTTGCTTGTGACTATTACCCCGAGGCTTTAAACCGTTATTTTTTACGAATCCTTTTGTCATTGGCACCAGAAACTTCTGGAAACCTCCTCCCGAGCCAAAGAGCGGGATGCGGCCAGACCGAAGCCAATATGAAAATGTCAGGGTTGGATAACACTTCTAGGGATTCGAAAAATGGCCATTCACATGACATAGCTTGAGCAAATTCAGGACCAGACTACATACTCCAGCCATTAGCACTGCCACCGGACGAGACACCCGCGCCGAAGACCTCGTCGAACGACAAGAAATAAGATTCGACCAGGCCAGCACCGATATAGAAGTCAGTAAAGACCTCCAAACCCGACTCCCCGTTAAGAATTCGAGCAATATCGGAAGCCTTGCATGGGATGCATCGGCTAGGGTCCCGACCCCACACGGATCTCCCGGCCTCCGCAATGATCATCCCATCCGGGAAGATTCTAGGGCCAACACAATCATGGACTCTAGGTATTTCTTTTCTTCTCCTCATGTCTATCATACCACTCGGCCCCTTTACTCTAAATAAATTTAATTCAGGAATTATAAATGCCTAGATAAAAGCCGCATCTCCACTTAGACCTAATGCGGATCCCCCACAAAGAGACTCGGAATCCGGAACACGATGAATCCGTTGATGTAACCCTAGCCCTGTAAGTGGTATTTCCCAGACCCCGCGGCCCCGGATTGAATCCGACGGGGCCCATCGCTTGGAGAAGGTCTGATTATGCTGTGATAGACATCTGTAATGAAATCTGGCTGCGCGTGAGTAGGCGCATGTTTCGAGATACATTAATGTAGGCTAGGGCTTCCCGCAGGGGGGTATCGCGCACTGCTGGGGAGTGCGGCACAGCGACCGTTGAGAGTTGGGGATAGGGTATATCTTGCTGGTAGTGTGGGTTCTAAATTATTTGATTACAAGCTGTAAATAGTAAGCAATTATCTCCTGGTCGAGTGATGCTGGTGGAGCAGGAGGGGAGTAATCTATCGAGTGATATTTTATGACGATACTGTGCTTCTGCGAACGAATTGATATACTCTTCCGAGAAAGAGGGAGAAAGACCCGGGAGAACTAATAGTTTTACCCTATTGAAAGGTGTATGTGTTATATGAGAGTTAATTTCTCGTTGTGTATTTTGCTTTTCTCTTGAACCCAGGTCCGCCAGAGACGTCGTTTTCAATCCTGTATAGAATTTTCTTTGTCTCCTTGATGCAATCACCTTCCATGAGAGCGATACTTTTAACTCTGACATGATGAGTCCTGATACTGGTGCGGTACTACCCTGTAGTAATTCACATTCCAGGCGTATTATTCTAGAAGGTATATATATATGAATGGTCGAACCGTCAGCCACAACCGAAGAGAATGTAAATCTTCAAGAGATAACTCAAAGCTAATCTTGAGATCTCCACACGGCCACATCGGAATAATTAATAGTCGTGCTTTTAATTTGATATCGATATCCGTGTCTTGAAAGACGAGGATCTTCCGGTGTCTGCGATATATATAGCGCCCATCTTGTGATAAACCGTGAGGACTAAGTCCAAACCATGAGAAATGATCAAAGCCTAATTAAGGTAGACAGTCAATTCAAAGTTACCGTGATATAAAATTCGAATCTCCAAAAGCCGTCCAACCGGGCTCACCATAGGTCAGAAACATGAACACTGCGGCAGAATCTAACCACCCCAGATCTAGAACTCATGATCAGCCAAACTCTCTACACTTCGTATCCAATATTACGAGATCACAGGATATCTCACGAGCTTATCTCGCCCTAAGACCTGCTCGAAAATTGCAAACATATACCAATTAATCGATATTAGTGACAAAATGGTCAGTAGAAACCCAGTCTACCGCCGAGCCCCTAGGATTGAGGCAGCATCTAATTCCCAGCGACAAATCCCGCACCTACCAATGCTCCCATAGCTCAGCTATCCTACATTTGGATAGGAATACCAAGGAATGGGTAGAGGCTTAAGCTTTTTAACGCGGCTTGGCTCACAGCTACTCACTCGACTCCTCAGCCTGCCCGGGACGAGTGAGACGAGTGAGACGAGAAAAGACTGGTCTGTACATATTCCACAAGACGAGACGAGATGAGATCAATCCTCGGAGACATCTCGAATAGCTTTGTAGAGAACACTATCCACATCTACCACCCACCCACCTCATCTCCCTATTTTAACGACCACGTCAGAAATACTGGCCACCGACCACTAGGCGTGACGCAGCCACGGAGTTCCGGAGCGTGAATGTTACGCTCGGTGATGCAGACCACCGATTCCTGGTGATGTAGCTACGGAACTCCGATGCGTAAGAGAGATGGAATATTGCGTTCGGCCTCTACCGACTACTGGCGATGTATCTACGGAACTCCGGCGCGTGAAAAATAGGAATGTTGTACTTGGTCTAGGCTTGGTGATGTTGACCACCGACTACTGGCGATGTAGCCACGGAATTCCGGTGCGTGAGGGGGATGGAATGTTGCACTCGGCCGCCTAGGTCTGGTGGATTTCTCCCTTGAGGTAAATAGGCCCCGACTGATCATGAGGATGCTACTGGGTGTTTTGGTTGACGGATGGACCAATGACTTTGAAGGTCTTAAGCTGGGAGGGGGTGGGTTCGCGCAGGTTTAGGTGGGGAAAATATCATTTCACTGTAGACACCTAGCTAGCTACAAGCATTTTCCGGCCTTTGGCCGGAGTAGGAACTGTTATGGCTTAAACAATATCAGTTTACCAATGCTTAAGATCACTGAAACCCCAAGATGCCCTGTGCACATATCTGATATACTATTTGGTTGACTCAAGGTATGTTGGAACCAATATCTACTGGCTGACTCAAACATATTTGATAGAATATCTACTAACTCCAACATATTTGATAGAATATCTACTTACTGACCAACATATTTGATAGAGAAAAAGAAAACCCCTCAAACCTGGCCAATCAAAACCTTTAAATAACACATTGCATATCGGTATATCTATATACTTATTAGATATGTCCAGCCTCATATATTCTCACCCATCACTACGAAACCCATATATCACTAAACCGCTGCGGGACAGAGGAGAGAGAGGAAAATAAAAGGATGCAAAAGCCTAAAATAGGTCTCTCTAGTTACATCCTCTGGCCAAGAAGACGATTGCCAACCACATATGCATTCATATGGTATCTAATACAGCAATACAAAGTGCTAGTATACGCCCCCCCCCACCCACATCATATCATATCATGTCAAGAGACAAATAAAAAAAAGCACACTTTACTATTCCTTCCCACCCCACCTGAACCTCTCATCGCCATCCTCCCACTTCTTCTCCGTGTAGCCAAGATCCCGCTTGACCCTCTCCACAGTCTCCTTATCGCCCGTGTTCTTTCCAATATTATCACTAATCTTGACCGCGGGGTTACCGCCGGCAGACGAGATCTTGATGACGATATTGAGCGGCGTAGACTTCTTGGTCGGCTGCGAGAGGTGGATGAAGTCGTCTTTTCTGTGTGTTAGTACGGAGAACAAGTAGCTAGAGGAGGGGAGATTGGGGGGGTAGGGGGAACTCACTAGTCAAGAAGGTCCCAACACCAAAGCTGACATTGAAGCCCGCAGCCCGGGCAGCTTTGTTGTACTTCAAGCACAGCTCAACGTCCAAGCTGTCCGAGAAGACGATCGTCTTCTCTCCCTTGATGCCCTGCGAATCGTAGAACTCGCGCATCCGCTTTACGAATATCTCTGGGTCGCCAGAGTCCTGGCGGACGCCTGCGAAGACTTCGGCGTAGGACTTGCCGTTCTTATAGGGGCGCGCGAAGCAGCGGAGGAACTGCTCGGTTCCGAAGGTGTCGGTGAGGGCGATTCCGAGAGTCTTCAGACGGAGGTGGGTGTTAATATCAACCTGTAGGGAAGGAAGGAAGGGAGGGAAGGAGGAGAGCTTACGCCTTCACCGAAGCAATTGACCCATTTCCCGAGCCCGACTTCGTTGGCGGATATGTAGTCGTCTGTGATGGCTGCGATGCCCATGAACCATTCGTGGGCGACGGTTCCGATGGGTGTTAGGTTGAATCTGTGGGCGAAGTGGACGTTACTTGTCCCGCTGAGACGGCCAGCTCCATCGACATTACTGAACTCTTCGTTTGCGCGGATAAGGCCTTTGATAACGAGTTCTTGGGTGTCTGTAGGATCCGGAGCTATGAGCCGTGGGGTTTGGGGCATGAGGTGTGATGTGAGAACGTACGGTAACTTCTTCGTCTTCTACTTCCAAATTCTGAGAATACGCAGCCGTTGTTTAGAAGCTGTTTGGCCTTTTCATAGCTATTTTGCACAAAACCGTCAGCACAGAATAAAGGAATCAGAGAATGGAGATATCCGCACGCTTTCTCCTCCTGCCCATCATAATTCCAGTCCGTATTCGAAAACTTGAAAAACGCCTCACTAACCAACACCAACAACGGGATCTCGTAAAGGATAGTCTCCACCCACTTCCCCCCCACGTCGATCCTGACATCACCCTACAAAACATCCCCGATTAGCCCTTCTCCCAGCCAATGGATCCGGCACAACAAACAAGCTCCAACTTATCAGCACCCAGCTCCCTCTCCTCCCGCTCCGTCCCAATCTGCTCACTCGTCTTCCCCGTCGGCGTGAACGTCAATTTCAGCTGTTCCGCCGGCCGGAAGTAGAACTTCTCCAGATACGCGATGTACGCCGCGGGCAGGTACGGACATGTCTTCTTGAGGAACTCGAGCTCGTCGCCGGTCAAACGGAGATCGCCAAGCTCTACACCTCGTTAAAAGAAAAATCAAAAAAAAAAAAACCCGGTATCATGGAAGGTTCCGGGCGGAACGTACTTGCGCACTGGACCTCCAGCCACTCGAATGCGGCGCGGGTGAGCTTCAGATCGGGGGTTCGGTTCGTGAAGGCGTACGTCACATCTGGGCGCGCACAGAGGGTCAGAGCCATGTTCCAGCGGGTGGAGCGGCGAACAAACCAACATCGGGGTAGTTAGCCAGGACTGCGCATTGCATTGTGAGCTTGTAGAGATCGGTGTCGAGCAGCGAGGGGATTCCCTCCTGCGTTTGGTCGTGTGGATTTGTGGCCATGGTGTTGTATCGTTTGCTTTGTGAGGGTTTTGAGTGTAGATTCGTAGCAAGAGCAGTGAAGTAGAGGAGGGAGCAGGAGAGAGGTTTGTACGGTGGTGCTTGGTGTATTGTATTTATCGGGCGGTGAGGTCGATTGTTTGCCGTGCGGGATGCATGATGTAAGAGTTAAGAGTCAGAGACGTACCCCTCGCACGTGACTCGCCTTATCATTATCGTGATTGGCTTGGGAGACAGGGGGTTAATCAATTGTGGACCTCGCAATCGCAGTTGAAAGAGGTTTGGTGGGTATTTCGCATTTTTGAGATATCTCCGCAGAGGCGGATCTTAGTCATGACGGACTATTTTCTGCAGGGCAATTAACGGTCGGGTTAGGATGATTTCATTATGCAGGGCGTTTTATATCCAACTGCATCGCATATAGCACGCCTGTGCTACCATCTAGATCTTAATATCGATCATTACCCTTTAGTTGTTTCTCTCTGTCATAAAGGTTCAATTCTGACCAAGTAAGGCCTATTCATGCACTTCTAAAGAAACTGTGCCTGCAGGTGTTGACTGTTTTGGACTCTAGGAATAATCTCTTTACATGAATTGCACTCTATAGATATGTATGCATTCTTGTTGTCTCGTGAGCGGTCCTAGGAATATAGGATCCCAGAGATTCAAATGATCCATTAGATCGTATTCATTCTTTGACCATGCTTAGCTCTAACTAGGACAGTTATCAACAAGGGATTGTCCATGATTCCGTTTGCAGTACTTAACAAAACCCTTGTCATGGAACAATAGCACAAGATTCAAGCACCGATCAGACCGCATATCGAATCTGAAGAAATGATCATTACCCCCCATTGATACCAAGGGCTAGCCGCACATACAATCCGAGCTAGCTACCGTTTGACAGCCTAGCCTCACATGTAAGAAGTTAGGCAACGTCCCGAATTTAACCAATAGCCTAGGCCCTCTTATCCTCAGAAATAAATAATATCAGTTGGGTAAAGCCGAATGTAACCACCAGCAAGAGTCTCCTCTTCTATGATATCAACAAATCGTTGTTTCTTAAGACTCAATTGATGGCACGATGCAGAGAAAGGACCCTTTACCCATGCCAATGATGTCACAGACGTAACCATAAGTAGCATCCGCACTTCCCGTTGAACTGGTTGATACGATCATTCACCCCTTCAAACGGCGCCATATGTGCATACAGACACGCCCAAATTTCGGGAGAAAGACCCCCAATTCAATCCCCAACTTCAAACCACAAAGACCCCCACCAGCAGAGGGAAACCACATGGACAAAGCCCACAATCCCCAATTCTACCCTACTCCCCACCGCACCCACCCGTGACCACAATGAGTCAAGCACATGCCCAGGCCGGCCCAAGTAGCCAATACTATTCCCCATAGCCTCCAGAGTCCCCAATTGTCAACAAATATGCAAGCCACTAAACCCGTAGAAGTAATGCCCCCTTAGCCAGTTCCTGTGTACTAGCCTGACCCCCCCTCACCCCTAGCCCTAAATCTCCCCTACCATCTTCCAGCAATCTCCACAATCGTGATAACGATAAGGATCACAGCCCAACCTCTACAATGCAAGCCACCAAGCGTGCCTCAAAACGATTGAGCAAATACATGCTCGACACTCTCCTCCGCCCCAGCACTCCTCCCACCACCAACACTTCCACCACCACTCCTCCCACCACCACCACCACTACTAACACCGCAGAAATGGCCCGCAACGACGAAGCCGCACAGCGCCAGAGAGAGGAGGACTACCTCTTCGCCGAGCCCGCCGAGGGCCATGTCCGCATCGACCAGATCGCGGACAGCGAGCTCATCAAGCTGTTTGACCCCGCGGGCCCAGGAGTCACCGAGAGCGGGTACGTGAGTGCCCGGCACGTCGGGATCCCGATCGTCCAGATCGCGGGAATGGGTGACATCTCTTCTCTTTATATTTCCTTCTCTTCTTCCGCCACTACTTTCCTCGTACACTAACACCTCCTCCTCCATCCAGCGCCCTCCCTACGTCCCTACCACGCCCTCTGGCGCCACCGCTACGCCCTCCAAGTCCAGCTCCCGCACAACTGGAGCACCTTCCGCCAGCGCTACACCTGGGCGTCGCTCCCGGAGTCCGCAATCCGCACCGGCGACCTCAACACCGACATCCGCATCGCGCGCGAGCTGTGCGTGCTGCTGCGCCTGTGCGCCAGCGTCCTCGCCGAGGTGCTGGACAGCGGCGCGGGCGACATCGTCAACACGGTGCAGTGGCTCCGCGACGAGATCACGACCGTGGGGGACGATGAGGTCAGGTGGAGGGGGTGGCTGGTCGGCATGGTGCGGCAGAGGGAGAGGGGGTGGCGGGAGGGGTGGTAGCTAGGCGGCTGGCGAGTGAGGGGTTGTGATCCCCGGCCCTTGCTTGGCGGGGGGGGGGAATTTTAATTTCTTTTTCCGGGGGTTTTGACTGGTTCTTTTTTTCTGCTCTTTGGTTAGTGATGGTTTCTGTGCATGTGTTTTTGGTGGCTTCTTCGTGGTCTTGGTGTTTCGTGGTGTGCTTTCCTTCTTACTTTCTTTTTTGACTGGTTTTGTGATTCCCATATTTTGCCATGTGTCCTGGAGTTTCCGTTTTGTCGGCGTTCATACGAGTCTCGACATGAGAATAGCTCATAGTACCATATAATTTCTAATATCTCTCTCAACTTACAATATTCCATAACCCAATCTCTAAGTCCTCAATCCTCATAACTTAACAAGCGAGGCCCCAAAACCAAAACATACTCTGCAAACCACATATTCAACCAATCTCCAAACCCAGATATCAAATATGCCACAAAAACACACCCACGTGCCCCACTCCCGCATCCGTAGTAACGTCAACGACCGAACCACATCATACCCCTGCGCCCTCCACAGCTCCCACGGTGTCGGAACAACCTGCCAAGCGCCGAGCTGACCGAGTGATACCCAGTGATTGTAGCGCTCACACTAGTAGTTGATGTTGGGATTAGTAATCGGATAGAAGGATGCTGTTATTGTCCGGACAGGGTTTCCCCCCCCTCGTCTGGTCTGTTCGGGTCGTATTTGGGTTTCTACTAATTCCTAATTAGCAACTACCAAACCCGCCCGCCCCCCCTCCCCCCGCCCCCCCTCCCCCCTCCCCCCTCCCCCGTCCCCCCCGCTCCCCGCCCCCCTTACCCCACTCGGTTCATGATCCAAGTGTAGTAGGTAGTAGGTTTTCGCGAGGATCAGGTTTAGAGTTAATTTGCAAGTCATGATGGTCACCATAAGAAAGTTCACCGCATGAATTAAAGAATCACTTTGAACGAAGAAGTCATTTTTGATGTAATATATATTCCAGCCGGTCTATTAACACACACGACCAACCAAGCACCCCCCCCCCCAAAAAAAAAAAGTCAAGTCCACACAAACAAAAGAAAGCAAAATACAAAACGACAAAAGAAGAAGAAGAAGGAAAAAAAAGGTCTGTACATCAAGAAGTACCGCCAGCTCAGCTCAGCTGGCCCGCCCCCCCAAAAAAAGTTGTAGTAATACACCCAAAAAGAATTGTTTCACAAAAAATTGAAGAAGAAGATGAAGAAGCCTAAAGGAGTGTGTAGGTGAGAGAAAGAGAGAGAGAGAGAGATTTAAGAAGAGCAGACCGGGACGGGCCTGTTGTTCTCGCAAGAGCACTGGCATCCGGAAGGAACCTGGACAGGGAGCGCGCGGGTGTAACGGACGGACCTCTTGCACTCGGTGTTGCCAATGACACCCTCCTCGCCGGTGGTGTCGGAAGGAGAGGCCTCAGGGACGGAAGCGGTCTTGGTCTTGCCAGGAGCACTGGGGTAGCCTGAAGAAAGCTGGACAGTTGAGGTAGCGGCGGCGGAAGTAGCGGCGGCGGCGGAAGTAGCGGCAGTTGGAGTAGCGGCAACTGATGATCCAGATCCAGAGCCAGAGCCAGAGCCAGAGCCGGAGCCAGAGCTACCGCAAGAACCGACAGGAGCGCCCGGGTTCGCGCCGGAGCCAGTTGTAATAGCAGAGCCTGGGTTGGGGAACTCCACGTCGGTTCCCTCGACGGTTGTGCATCCGTTTCCGATGTTGGCAGTGAAGATATCTGGGTAGGCCGAGAGACCAGATCCACCACCAGTGACAGTGACAGCGGCGCAGTTCATGTACATCTCCCTGTTACCAGTCTTGTTGAACCAACTCCAAGCCAAGAGGACCTTTCCACTCTTGGTCTCCGCAGGGAGAGTGTATGAGAGTGAAGATGTCCCCGAAACAGGGCAGTTTCCGATGTAAGATTGAATGACCTTGAAAGTTGAACCACCGTCCTCAGAGATTGAGAGCTGGCAAGATCCACCATTGTGGTTAGCACCACCGGCAATAGACACTGATTGCGAGGATCCAGCAGCATAGGTAGCGACAGAACCACCCTCGGCAGTGTCGAGGAGAGAGGCGTAGCCCTTGCAAGGGTAGTCGGAGCCGGAGTCGGAAAGAGGGGAGGTGTAGTCGTAGTCTTTGGTGACAGCAAACTGGTTCTCTGGCAGACGGATTGGTGCGGGGTCGGTCATCTTCATGTGAGCATTGGCAATGCTGAAGAGGGGGAGGATAGCGCAGAAAATGGTTGCGAATGAGGGAGACATTTTTGTGAGGTTGGTTGAGAGTATTGTCGAAAAAAGTTGTTGTTTATTGGGGACTAGCGTGAAAAGTACCGGTACTTCTGAAGTGTTAAGGCTTATTTGCAAGACCAAAAGGTTATAGATAACTGAATTTGTTTTTTAAAGTATCCAAAAAGAACAGTTGATAGGTGTTTGGAACAAATTCAAATGAACGACCCAGTCGTTTCGAGAAAAGAAGCTTAGTGAGTGAAAGAACGAAAGTAACTGAAAGACAGTGGAAGACTTGCTTGCTGTGGACGCTGGCTGATGGGGAATAAAAAAAAAACAGAATCGGGGTGAAAGAAGGGGTCTTATATCAGTAGAAGGACTCCGCCCAAGATTCAGGTTTCGGCACTACCTCTACTAAGGACTACCTAGTTAGCTCGCCCATATTTCCTTTACAGGGTGTATCCAATAAGCTAGCAAAGAACGTTGACAGCCTGGAAAGCCCAAGAATGGACCCCTGCCCATCAGTTCAAGGATACTGGGTGCAGGAAAATTTTCTGTCCTCTGGTTTGTCCGTGTGGCGATCGTCCTAATGCTGCATCCTTGATAGGAACCAGGTACACCAATAGGACATCAAAGCTGGACCTTTGGGTGTGCAGTTTCGGACAAGCGCGCGGTCGTACGAAAGCGGACATCTTCTGCAGAGCTAGAGTGCTGCACACCATATTTTCTGGGTTAGGGTTTACATCGCCAATGAGAATTGCAGGCTGGCATTCAACTAAGAATACGTGAGTGAAAAGGGCAACCCATGCCGCGGCAGCAGACAGACGGCTGCGTGCCTGCTTTCCTCCAACGGCTCGGTTCCGAGAGGCGGAATCTCGGTAATGGTCAAATAAAGTACGTGCAAATAGTGGCGGAGGGACAAGCTCAGATGCTAGAATAGTGGCGAAGGGAAAGATTCAGGTGCTGTAGAGTACATCAGTAGAATACTTCTAGAAGATACCTAACATGCACTTCTCTGATGTGTAAATATCTCGAAATGGTAGGTAGAGTACTTGTACCTACATAGGTACAGTATTGTAGCTGCATATCCTCTTCCTTTGCCGACTCGAGATACTCAAAAATAATTCACGATTAGCTAAAAATACCTCATTGGGTGTAGATAATTCCTCAATTAGTATCTATGGTGAGGGGGTCGGCAGTCTACTAACTGAATTCGCCATGGAGAGACATTCGTTCCGCCCATTCCTCCATCTCTTTCGCGCCGAGGTTGGTCGTAGATGTCATTGGTACACAGGACGCATCCCCGGTACTTGTTCAAGATGTACCTACTTTTGACCCAACTAAACCACGCACAGACTAAATACGTACTCGATGCCTGAAGCTTGACTTTTCAGATATGATGAGCGCTTGGCGGTAAACTGGGTGATCCAATCAGCACCCAAATAAGCACAACAAGTCACCACTAGTGTCGTGAAACCCCTGCTTACCCTTACCTTCGCGTTGCTTTTTGATTTTTTTTGGGCCATCATGAAACGTAGAGCAGCAGAAGAGACTGCAGTAGTGAGAGTCTTACGAAGTGTGCGCGCGAGTAAGGGGTGTCCACGCTAGCAACCGAGTGATTGAACCGAGGATGAAGGGCAGGAGAGGTCTTTTCTGTACCTCAGCTGCTGTCTTTTCTCGGTAAAGGATACATACTCTACTTTGGAATCCATTTCTGTCGTCGTTGTCCAAGTCCTTCAACCACCACCACCTCCTCCACTGTCTAAGATAGGATTCCATTGCTCACAAGCAACTTTACAGGCTTTACTGCCACAAAGTCACTCCAGCTGATACAAGCCCGATCGCTAGCTACAAGTGGATTAATTCCCCGGCGGCCAAGCCACACGGAAAACATCTGCTGAAGGTTTCACCGACAAGCGAGCAGGCTGTGCCGTCCAGCTGCAGGTACGCGCAATGACGAGTGGCAGCCCGATGGACGTCTTATCAGATCCAGACGCCCAGCCAGGGACAGGCAGGTACGTACTACGTACCGCCGCCTACTTTACCTAGCGAAAAGGCGTGGCAACAGCAGACAAGGAACCAGTCAGGAGATTTTCCTGGTACCAGAGGAAGTTGGTAACGGAACGCACATGTGTGGAGCGCGAATCATGTGCTTTTCCGTTTTCCATCTATTCATGAATATGATCATTCCTTATTGCTTCCTTCCTTTCTTCTTCCTCCTGTGCATTCCTTCCCTCCTCCGCGCTCGTTCGCGGGACAAAAGAGAAGGTGTATGTAGGCGTTATGATGATACTGTCCGACCGATAAGGGATAAGGGGGAAACCCTGGCCAACTGTTTGAAGGGGTAGAGAAGTTCGTAAGGCTTTCCTAACTGGTTCGTTTCTAGGGCACAGGGGTAAGCTATTTGCCACGTCGGTCCTGGATTTTATTGATGATGGCTTGTCATGAAACGAAGGGCGGGGTAGATGGTGGTTTAACGCAACAGAGTATAATAGCTACCCATTGCCTACGGTACTTTGGATAGGAGTAGAGTAGAGTACGTATACTCAATGTAGGTAACTATGTACTATAACATCATCGTTAACTCTACCGTTTTATGACTTCCTTTGTTTCTTTGGTCACTTGAACATGTAGTATGTAGATTGGCATGCGTTGGACTTACATATTCCTCCCTACCCGCCCGTCCGCCGCCGTTCATCCGTCAGTTATCCAAAGAGCCGTGTATCAAAAATCTCACTCCCCAAACTCCCTCTTTCGAATTGCACCCTCTTCACAGGTGAGATCTCATGATCAAAGCGCTTAATCCCGGCACCGGAATCCGGAATGCTGTCTACATACAGTTGTAACTACCTGTATGTAAACGGCGAGTACCTACATGTATGTAATCATCTCTCCCCCCCCCCCCCCCCCGAGGGTCTAACTCTCCAATCGTGGGGATCGTTCGCTGCATAACATGCCCTGAGCGACAGTTGAAGGGTTCAAGGATTACTCACTCCCTCCCCAGCGATCAAGCCTTATTTGCTGGGGAAAAAAAGTTATTACCCGCATGTGAAAAAAAAACTGGGATTACGGTAGGGAGAAGGGGCGCTCGGTTTAACATACTATTTAATCTATGACATGAACCATGAACCAATCGCGCGGGTAGGCTAGCTTGCGCAGGGACGTTTTATCAGTATGAGGAGGGGCCGCTGATAGGAGAAAGTGGAAGGTGGGAGGGAAACAAAGGGGGGGAAAGAAAGAAAGGGAGACTTTACCTTCGTAGAAGCCACATGCTGTAGTTCTTTTTGGTTGGGTCGGTGAGCTCCCAGCTAGTGTCGGGACTGAAATTTAAGCAATTCCCAAACACTTTTGTTTCGAAAGCCCTGCCTCATTAAAAGTCTAAACCAATACTTGGCAACGCATTCACATTTTTTTTCTTTCTAGAAGGTAGAAAGAGAGCTCGAGGGCCCGCGCGCGTGGTGGCCGCTCTCAGGATCTGGGTTCTGTGTCGAATCCATAGACGTTATCACGAGCGTGTACATACAGCTGCTGTGTACTGAGTTGAAAGTGCAGTGCCACTCTCACCGCCTCCAACAATTGCAACTTCAGCACTAGCTACCATCACCATCCGCCCAGCATAGCCTTGGCTGAAAACACCCCCCCAATCTCTGTTTTCACTGTGTCGCTCGCCTCGCAAAACAGCGTGACGCCTGTTGTCGATAGCCGTACTTCCGCAAAAGGGGGAGCTTACAATGCTTGTGAAGGGGCCGAGGAAACAAAATCTCACGGCTGACGTTGGTTGGTGGATTCGTTCGCTAGCCGTGTAAGATCCGAGATCGATCTCTATTGGAAGAACCCCTTCTGGCCACTGTGCTTCTAGTAGAGAGGCTCAAATAAAGTTTCACTGCACGCCTGCGGCAACGGCCTAGTAGCACAGTTCCCAATGCGGGTTGCCTACGAACCCTAACCCACTAACTGTTACTACATGTACTTACCACTACCCTTCATCCATCCTCATCGATCCCCATCCCCATCCATCCCTAGTCTAGATCCAAAAGCTTGAGAACTCATCAAACCAAACGATTCCATCCAATATCCGAAAACAAAATTGCACAAAGAAGATGTAAGGAAGTGCCATTAGACCCTCTCATTACCGCGATCTCTCGCAAATCCACATACTCGGGGCCGATGTGAGGAACCTTGGGCTGATGACCGTTTCTGATTCGTCTTGGGCGGTTATTGATCCTGGTCTCATTTTTTTTTTCAGAACTGCACTTTCCCCTTCCATGACCTGGGATGAGCAGATATGAAGAACCCTGATGTATGTATGGAGAGCATAAACCCGATAGAGAGAGGCCCGAGAGCACGAACCCGGGATCGTAGAGAAATGCAGGATCAATGGCGCACCTGGAGGAGAGATGCGATTAATTGGGATTGTCTACATGTAGCTAGTGCTCCCCTCCCTTATCCAGCCAGAGGGAAAAACCAAGCCAAACACCACCCCGCGGGCAGAGCTTGTGATATCCATTACCTACCAGAGACACGCCCTACAAGCCGGTACATTCGCGCAAAGTACCTACCTACCTCCAACACCACGATAACCACCCACGCGCCAATCCTGTAATCTATCACCACATCCCCCGCGGCCACGATTAATTGGTTAACACGATTGTACCACATCATCATAAATGAAATATTACGGCCCTATAGACGCCGCCTATATAACTGACACAGGCCAGCACAGCCAATCAGGGCGCTGTCTGCTAGGTGCTAATTAGAATCTGGAAAGAAAAAAAAAAAACTACTAGTGAATATTTGAGAGACATGACTGCAATATTACAATACAAGATCTAGATTCCAACTCCCCAATTCCCCCATCGTGCTCCCGAAGGTAAACCGGCTTCACATGGTACCGACATTTAGCCTTTCGCCTAACCCACAACCAAGCAGCCGTAGTTTTCAATATAGTAGATGTATGTACGGCCAGCCAGCTAGCTGGTTACATATAAAGTCTACCTACATGACCTATGCATAAAAACCCGGACCGACATGCACACGGAGCAGCCACCGCCGACATGTCTCACCCGCGACCCCCGGTCTCTGAGAGCTGACGTTGACCATGGCCAGCCATGCCGACCCCGAGTAGCCGAAATCGGGCAAATCCGACGTGGCTAGCTAGCGAGCGGGACCTTCGGTTGGGTATTAGGTTATTCTGACCTCCCACGACGCTACTACATGTATACAGTAGACAGCTAGCTACATGTATGTAGTGGGAGCGCCTGTGAGGATCCTGATAATTTACGTGGAGATGTGGTATTTCGTAATGGAAATTTAATGAGTGAAGCATTTCTCGCTGGCTGCTACGCTTCGTGATACCGTATATCGGAAAACACTCGTTGGTTGTGAATAGATGGCGGGGAGATTGCAATTACTGTATAATCACCAGTGAAGCCAAATTCTGACGACTCCCGGAAGCAAACCCATCCGACCCTCCGTCGACTCTACAGACAGGTGCTTGTTTATTTATCCCCACGGAGTCATTTGTTTCAATCACGACCCAGCACTCGAATACTGCACAATTTGTCATTACCCATCCACAGGGTTAGGGTTATCAACTACTCTAAACCTCATCTAGACGCCGAGGATTCACTTGGATTCCATTCACTTCCCGAGGACATGTATTAACGAAAACACGCACAACACTACAACGCATCCCCAAAGAACAACCCTCTCCAAGAGGCCGGCTTCAAGAGCCACAAATCAGATCCCGCATCAATCCGTGTTCATATGTGTACCTACATGAACCCGAGCCGAACAAACTTTTTTCCACTGACGACAATGAAAATTTTTCCTGTCTCTGCGCGGGCTGGCAGAGCAGCATATTCTGGCGAACACTATTTGCAGGAACGATACTCCACGATAGAGATACTTCCGTTGTCTGTGTGTGTGTATGTAGGGCGCAAGTAAGGCTTATCGCAAACCCCTCAAGAGCTGTCTCAGTTTCCCAAAGCGGCATGGAGGAGTCGTCATGCAGCCCTAACCCCGTCGGTGCGAGTGCCGGATGCGGGCGCAGCTGAACTGAGACATCGGCAATGTGTTGTCGGGGGTTCCAGAAAAAGCCAGATGGTGTCGTCAGTGGGGACTCTGGGGAGATCGGAAACTGGTGTTCCTAAAGCACTGTGGAAACCATGCGGGATGAGCCGTGTTGGAAGCGAGTGATTGATCGTGAGGAAGCGAAATGCTGCGATTGTGGTCTTGGGGTACCTGGGATTGGAGAAGGTAGAGTAGTTGCTGTCTTGGATATCTAAGGCTGAAGTGATGATGTTCGCTGTACCTACATGTGAATCTGCTTCCTGAGGTTTGATCGAGCCATCCTATAGAACTGCCGACGAGGAAAGACTGAGACTGACAACGTCAAGCTGATCTTCGTAAAGTATCGATCAAGTTCTTTCCTTGACCTGCAGTAAAATTGGACCCAGTTGACTAGTACCTGTGACAGAAATCATAGATAGTCGCTCGGTTTGGGAAACACTCAGGCGCCAACTCTGGCGCTTATTTCCTGTAAAACATTCTCTAGCCACAGCCTCAGCCTAAGTGAAACTACCTAATGCTTTAGACAAAAGTTTCTTCTTTCTTCTTGATGCTATTGTCATTAGCGCGCTGTTTATAGATATTGCCGCCGAATCCTCGAGACGTAGGAAGCTTCAGAATCTCGGTGTGTATACGTACGTATTCCATAAACAATCTGATACCCGCGTGTAAAGGCCAAGAGGTCGTTAAAGCTGTTGCCTCCGCTGCTCTTTCTCGTGCCTAGTCTTTCCATGGGTTTATTACTCGCAAGTAGGATAGCTAGTCGATTTGTGTCTTGGCGGCCGACGACATGAAATCACGAGTGATACTTCATGAGCCACGGTGAAATGTGATTTAAGGACTCGCGGCAAAAATGATTTTATTATAGTGAACTTTCTGGGACGACTCTTTTCAGGCATTGGGGACGTTGTGGAGGTGGATGAAGGACCGTTTTTGCTCCTACACGACTATAGTGAATTCAATAGACTGTAATTGTCAGCTTTTAGACGGCATACAACAAGAAACGATCTGTAAGATCCTTAACACCCAAAGCTTACCATTTCATTCTGTCAGCAACTGGTAACTGATAGTACCGTTGCCGACTAGCAATTCCGACCTTCGGAGCGGGAGGCGGAGGCGGGGTAGTTTGTGGCGTGTCCGGATCGAAGTAACGTGACAGCACAAGGAGTCTCCTGCAGATCCAGTTATTCGTCAGTCATACATACCTCGACCCTACTGCAACCAAACCACGAGAAGGCTCCCTAATCGTGCGTACCTTAGATACAACCCCGGGGACATGTCAAGTGGTGGGGCACTCTCGACTGGGTAGAAGCAGAAAACAATGTTCTGATAGCCGGAAAGAGTCGTCGTTACCCTCGTACCGCAGGAATATAAGTAGGAGAAAGCTCGAGAACTCAGATGGGCGGAGGACTTGGGTCTCTACCTGTATCTATACGCACTAATTCCATAGGGTATCTCGAACGAATTGACACTGATGGACGAGGGGGAGAGGTTGAAGATACCAAGAATTTGTTTCCTTGCAGGGCCGATAGTATTTGGCAACGGAGCGAGAAGTTAACTAGCGGCTAATAATCGGCCTCTCGATGTCTCGGGTGGCATCATGGATCGATAGGAGATATCGCTGCTTGTCGGTATCACACTGCTTGTCGGTACCGGTACTAGTCGACTGGAGGTATGTGAGGGATATTTGGGGCGGCTTGTTGGGTGCCGGTGTTAGAGCTTGCTGTGGGATTAGGGCGGATTAAGTTTTTTTTTCGCGGGTTTGCGTAGTTGATAAGCTCACTCCAGTTGTCCTGATCGAGAGTCGAGTTGTCATCTGAACGCTTGAATTATAGATGTTTGCAGATAGAGTATAAGGAAGGATACATAGAGATTACGAGACTACCGATTTCAATAGTTAGCAACACTGTATTCATAATATGTAGCTATTACAGAGCACTTTATAATATCGTAATATTCACAACCGACTTTTGTTTCCTCCACTCCAGCCGTTCGAGTCATAGCTATAGGCTGACATTCACCAACGTTAGCTATGTCTCTTCCAAACGATAGAATTTGAGCAGAGCTCAAACCTCCACTCTTGAGGTCGTTAGCGATCTGGCGCCGGGATAATAATATACTCGTAAAGACGAAGAGATGTTGTTGTCCTGGTCGAGAGCCGGCCTTGATATTTCTTCAGCACATCATTTCAACGTGGCATTTAAATTTACTCAGGACACCTTCCGCGGGCCTATTATCAGTCATTCATTCATTGGAGATATATAATTGTCTTGGTCCCCAAACCACTCAAACCTTCGGGCGTTCTCCCGCGCGAGGCTTGGCGTTCACCTTTGCGGAATTGGCCTTTGGGGTATCGATCAGATAAGCGACAATACGATTAGGACTAGTCTTCATTCCAGTCTGCCAATATAATCCCAGATGCAGATCTCCAGATCTCCAGATCGGAGCTTTATTGGCTGCAGGTACGGGGTCCAGAGTAATTTAATATTGTAGTGTTGATCATTTGATACACGATGCTAAAGTCTGACATCTACTATGCATGAGTACCTGTATGTACGTGCCAAACTTGAGAATTTATGAGCTATTACAAAGACAATAGATTGTATTCCATAATTCCACCTTCACGCATCCCCAATTGCAACGTCTCCTCCTCCTCCTCCTCCTCCTCCTCCTCCTCTACTGCAGCTTTTGAACGGACTTCTTCAACCCCGGCGACACGGGCTCTAGGACATCCAGCATCTCGTTCCAGAACCTCTTCTGCGTCGCCTGTCCATTCTCACTCGTCACCCAGTCCGCTGGCCTAGATCGCAACCAGTATATATATATTAGCACAGCCAACTTTCAAAAACATATAACGAAACCGGCAAGCAACTTACGTCTCAATCTCACAGTTACTTAAATAGCACCCATGGCTCCTAGGCCCCTTACACGCCGCATCCACTAACGTCCTACTCCCCTTCTCCGTCGGCCTCGCAAAGCACATCTGCAACACCCTCATTTTCAACCCTAACTCCCTCCCTAGCTCCGAATAGCAAAACCCCGGATTCAACGTATTCACCACCACCGCCGGCTTCCCGCCCCCATCCACCGGCGTGATCTTCGCAATCTCCCTCGCCAGATACACATCCAGCAGTTTCGACAGTGGGTACCGCCCCCCCATATCCTTCTCCGTCTTTACCCTATCATTGATATGGGCCAAGATGCCCTTCTCAGCCTGCGTGGGCCAGGTGTTATACTGCGCCGCCACGTTCGCCCATCGATGCACCTCCGACGCAACAATCACTAGGTGCGGCCTCCACCTCGGGTTCTCCCTCCCCGACTGTACCATCTTCGGCAACAGTCGCAGCGCCAGCAGCGCCGTTGAAAGCACATTCACCTGCAGCGTCGACTCCCACCCGTCATCCGTCACCCGCCAATTACCGGTTGCGATGCCCGCATTCAGCACCACGACGTCCAGTTTTGGGAGCGCCAGCGCCCGCTCGATGAACTCGTTCGTGCACGCGAAGGAGCTCATGTCGAGTTTCCAGACCTCGATGGCGGAGGGGTTGCAGTCGGTGGTGGAGACGATGGAGGACTTGGCGGATTCGCCTTTTTCGAGGTTGCGCACGGCGAGGATGACGCGGGCGGCGCCGAGGCGGGCAAAGTGGCGGGCGGCTTCGAGGCCGAGGCCGGTGTTGGAGCCGGTGACGATGACGGTCTTGTCATCGAACGGGTAGGAGGGATATGGGAGGGGGAGGCTTTGGAGAAAGATTTCGGTGAAGTTTGACATCTTGTGATAATTAGGTATTGAAGATTTATAGGTATAAGGCGAAGAAGAGGTGTGAGGGTTCTTAAGCTATTATTCAGTGGTTATGGGGGGTTGGGGATGAAGGAGTTGGATTTGAGGATTTGAAGCTCATGAAAAGGGTCACGGTTTAAGTATTCCAGAGAGGTCTCGCCCTTCTTTTTTTTCCTTCACAACTACGTAAGAGCCTACCTACGTATCTACCTAACTACGTATCTACCTAACTGACGGCCAGATCTTGAAATGTGCGCCTCCCCTGGAAAAGGCGGGAGCCGGATTTTGTACTATCTCCACACAGCTAACAAGGTGGTAGGCGAGAATCTGCCCGCGGACCTTGGTTATCTCCGTTAACGCCAAGCGTGCTGGGGGCATGGCTGGACATGGACAACCTAAATACTGCCTTTAAAAAGCTTGGGTCGGTGCAATTAATTGAGAAACGCCCGTCGGATAGTTAAAAGTCGACAAATGTGACGATTACTGGGCCTTTTCCTGATTATTTGAGCGCATGATCATTATGGGATAATATTTATCCGTTAAATCTAACCAACTCCTCAACGCTACATGGATATTGTTACGCCGAAGGATCATAAAATATCACTCTACATGCAACCCCCTGTTTCCCGAAAGTCCTATCAACCTCAACCTTAAGCGAAGCTTCTGTCTCGTCGAACGGTGCGCCATGGTTGGAATATTTCACGGTTCTTGCTTTGGTTTTGATCAACCAGCAGGAATCGTCGAATAAGCAACCACGCCGAAAATACGAGGATTAGGAGGGGAATTATCCCAACTATGTACCATACGATTGATGGGTGATTATCGAAGGTGTCGACATTCATTCCAAAAACGCCCTGGTTTATGTGTTATTTCTAGTTTTCGTTTATGACTGGTGTAGAGGATTAATTAACTAGACTTACAGTTAGGAATGTGAGAGGTAGAAATATAAACTAGGACGGATATGAGCATCAATACACTGGCATAGAAATTCGAATTTTTGGGGGTGTTGTCACTTACTGTTACCCAGCTGAGACGGTTCATCGATGCTCCATATGCATTTGCCGTTTGTGCCTCTCGAAGAGACGCAATAGTAAAAAGCTAGCCGCCACATTAATGATCAGCAAACCTACGCCCGCCAAGTGACATCCCAAGCTCACCATTTGCAAATTCGTATGCGTCGGCTCAACCAAGTTCTGTATAATTTGCCGCTTCAACCTTAGAAACTGGTCTCGTATCCATCTCATATCCTCATCCTCCAAATTGATGAGTGAATTCCTTCCCTCCCCAGCCTTCAGCTCACTACAAAACATATCCAGGGCTTCAATCTGTTTGTCGATTGTCTGGTCCAGATATTTCCAAAATACCTCTCCCTCCCAAATCTTCTGGGCGAGCTCTGCTGTCGTCTCCGCAATCACTCGAGCTTTCTACATTTTTTCTCTTCTTTAGCTCGATATACTTAGCTGGTAATTTAGGGAGATATAACGTACTAGCGATATAACATGCTCTTCACACGCCGAAATTACCTCTGCCCACTTCGATGCTATCTCATTACTCAAGAACCTAAATAGCATCTGCCCGCCCACAAAATCAAACGCCTGCTGCTTATCCTCAATACCCACGAAATTCTTCACCTCATCGTCCGTCGACACATCAAACGTCTGCCACGACCGCTCCACATCCGTCGTAAACAGCACTATCGTCTTTGCAATCCGACTATCTTCCGATATCGAGTACGGGATCCAGAACGACTTGGTCTGCCGCAACACATCCTGCACCGACGGCGCACTCGCCACTAGCTCCTCCGCAAACGTCTTATAACCCCCCCACTCCGTCTCCTCCCCCTTAGTCCGCTCCCGTTCTGCCCCCTTCGTCTGCACCTTGCTTCCATCAACCCCGTACGAGTCCAGCGTCACCATACGCTTCCCCACCGGCCTCCTCACCGCAATCGTCGGCACGCGGTCGTCCAGCACAAACGTATCAAACACCGCATACAGGTCACCGGCAAAGCCCCCGCTGTCCTGTGAGCACACGAAGTTTGAGCAGTTCGCGCTGACGTCGAGGCGCGAGTCGATGGTGTGCAACTTCCACCGTTGGGTCACTTCGTTGGAATCTTTGCGCCGCAGCGTGGGGCCGCGCTTGCCCGTGATGCAGGTGATGAGGTCGTAGACGCCAAATCCGTCGAAGAAGGCGGTTTTGGCGGCTTCAACGGCCCATTGGCGGTCTACTAGCCTATAGGTACAACAGATATCGTGTTAGGTTCAAGTCAATGGCGTGATTATTCGGAGTGGGGGTTGGGTTTTGGGGGAACGGACATTTTGCGGATTGTGGGGGCGGGAGCGGATTCGCCTTTTTGGAGTTTCTGGTGGGGGTGTTAGTTTCAAAAACCAATTGCATGGGGTCGTAAATATGTGTGTAAGTACCTCCGACTCCTCCTTAAAAAACGCACTCAGCACCGCTGCGTCCTGGAAATGTCTATAAAACACCACCAACCTCTTCACCACTCCCTTCTCTACTTCTCACCAAACAAAACAAACCGCCAAATCTCGTCAGTCCTATGTCCAAATTCACAAAACAAAAAACAGAAACCAATTGGCGGATTGAAAAACATACCGTCCCACTCGAACGTATAGTCCTTAATCACCGCCTTATCCTCCCTCACCGGCGATGCGCCAGAGGTGTAGACGACTTTTGTGAACCCGTTGGTTTTCATTGGGTCTGACATTTTTTGTTCGCAAACGTAGCACTGGGAGAATAACCAGTGATGCCAGGAAACCATTTTAAATTCTGTCCTGGTGGTTTTATATCAACTTCTGTATTATTTCAGCCAGTGAGTGAGGCTGTGCCGCGTGGCGCAGTATAGCCTTATATGCGAGTATATATGCGAGTATATATGCAAGTATATATGTGGGTTATTTTGAGGACTTCCATCTCTGCCAGTGCGTCGGGAAGGCGATAGAGTCCGATGTGCTGCAGAGCGGTCTAGTAATACGTATCCCATGGTCCGTCCATGCTGACCCCTATAATAGAGGAATTAAATTTGTATGGGAGATCTATTATTTGATAAGAGAGATAACAAGATCTGTTAGTAGAGCCACACAAAACTTGCTTTTTTCTGGGGGTCAGCATTTTCACTGACGGACGATGGAATAGAGGAAGGCGTGATGATAGTTATCTAAATAGTAAGTAATTATTCCATGACGCCAATCCGGCGATTATATAAGCCTTCTAATAATGCTCTACACCAAGTACCGGGCGTTAAGGGTAAGTCTGGAGACGCTCGAGTCATTGGCCGATTGTACTGCAAGTCCTGATTGGCTGATATTCGGGCCAAGACAGGACACCGCCACTGCCACGTCAAGGAGGGGAAGTCATTACTCGCAGGTGAGTTCTTTCAAGCTGTGAACTTTTCCACCCGCTAATATCATTGACACCCGTTCGACGCCGTGAACACCCCGTTCGACGCCGTGAACACCCCGTTCGACGCCGTGAACACCCCGTTCGACGCTGTGAAGGCCCCGTTCGACTCGGCTGTGAAGGCCCCATTCAACGCTCGTTCGCGATGAGGCAGAAGGGAAGGCGGTCTGATCATCATCAAAACACGAGGAATAGAGAGACTACGAGGGATGAAAGACTCAGGATTATCACTCTGAGAGAGATAGGGAAGAGCTGGAGAGAGATAGGAAGGATAATAGAGATAGATTTCAGTACCTGTCAAGGAATCTTTAGACGGGCACAAGTAAATGGAACTCCAACCAACAGAGTAAGACAAGGGAGACCACCTATCTTTAATGAGGCAGAAAGGGAAACGCTACAAGAGTTTTTTTACAAAAGAGAAAAGAACAAGGCGTTTACCTTGGGAGGCAATAATTCATGAGATAGGATATGCATGTTCTGTTAGAACTCTACGAGATGTTATGACATCTATGGGCTACCATAAACGTCTACCTGTAACGGAGCCATTTCAACTGTCTGGTGTATGAGTACAAACAGGGACCGGTTACATGCTGAGAGTTATTGTTAGAAGCCAGTTGCACGGTGATATGCAAGTACCGGCAGTGTGGTTAGCTACCAGCTGTTAGAGTAACTACATTCCGGGTGCTAGAAAGGGGATCTATTCATGGGAGCAATGACTGACGAGTCTAAGCCTCGCCAGTGACTAGAAGACCGGCCAGAGTGAAGCTCTGATTGCCCGGTGATCCTGTGTATCCTCTGAGCATTGTATGTCCGCCGAAGAGGCAGAGACTATGCTAGGGAAGTCTACAATAAGCGAAAACTCTACAACAATGATTAAGCCTACATATGAGCGGCAGCTCATTCATGCAGGCCCCGGTTGTGTAGCAACCAACGTTGCAGGTGTTACAAAGGCTTTGACTAAGGGTAGTTGCCTTGGGTATCGGAAACACCTGCTGACGCTTAGAGAAAAGTGGGGTAGCGGTGGTATTGCTTCTGGCACCGAGGAAAGGCTCCACCGGAACTTAATAAGGAGTTAGGAGCAGAGAATAGAGGCCTTCGGAGTATAAGTACTCAGGTTCATTCTCGTTCTTCAGTCCTGTTCTCTCCAGTCTTCATCAGAAAGAAATATCAAGTTCTTATCGGTAGCAGAGCCCTTAAAGATTACTGAGTTTTAGCGATAGTATCTTTGAATAATCTGCAACCTGATTGTCTATCTTGCACGGCAATCTCTATTCTATCCTATTCTATTTTCTCTTAGAAGAAACCCCCTTTACATTACCTTATAAAAAGTAAGATCATCAGCTCTTTCCTACTAGTACAAACTTAAGCTAATATCATTGAGTAAATGGTGTATTAGAGAATCCAATCTAATCAAAAGGGTACAATGTTGTCAAGTAAGGCTATACTGAATCTATGATGAATAGTATCGAACTGTTTGGACAGACGAGTCTACTTTCAGCACAGTGGACTTTGGCCATCGATATTGGGTTACACATACAGCAGAGGAGGAGTATCGTCCTGACTTCCTAGATGAAACATGGGAGTCAGGTAGAAAGAGCATGATGATATGAGGTGCTTTCTATGGTGAGATGAAGTCAGGCTTAGTTTTCACTCCCGCTGGTATTACTCTCAAGTTACAAGTCTACAGAGATTACATTCTAGATCCCCATCTTGTACCGTTCTGGCATCATACCTGTAAAGAATATGGGTGGACACAGGTAGTGGAGGACAATGCACCCAGACATAAGAGAGTTGCTATTGGTTGCAGAGAAATCAATGAGGTAGAGAGTGTTGAATGGCCCCCTCAATCACCAGATCTCAATCTAATCGAGGCTCGTTAGGCAGATATAGAAACTGAATTGGGGGAAACTATTGGGCTAGTACAAGATATCGAGGTTTTGAAAATCATGATCAGGAATGCTTGGAATAATATCACTGTAGATAGACTGGATAGACTCATTAGAAGCATGCCCAAAAGACTAGAAGCAGTCATTGCTGCTGGTGAGCATGCCATTAAGTATTAAATAGCTATATAATTGAAGATGTTTGTGGGCGTGAACAGGTGTAGCTACAACATCAATGGGGGTGTCTCTTTAACGGCAACTATGTATTTCTGGCTAGGTGATAAACTGGAATGAGGGAACGAGGTATTGTGTAGTGGAATTAGGATTTGTAATGGGGATTTCTGTTATGTTCTTTCGGTTTCTGTTACGTGAAGGTATTAGTCATCATTGGATTATGAATGGATCGGAAAACTCCCAGAATGCTACGCCAAAAGGCAGGCTGGGGTCCCGAATGCCACATTGAGAATAATATGCCACGCAACCATTCCTATTCCTCCCTGTTAATAAATTTGGATGCTAACAACCATGAGACAGGGTTTCATACTACAACCCAACCCCGGATTACAGCAATGCAGTAGCAATGGAGATAGGCTCTGCCATCGCAACTTGCTGCTGCTACGGTCACCATGGAGATAGACTCTGCCATCCCAATGTGCCGTCGCTGTAGAGATGGACTCTGCTGTCTTACAATACAGTCGCAATGGATGGAGATAGGCTCTGCCATCCCAACTTGCTTCTGTTGCAGTCGCCATGGAGATAGGCTCTGCCATCCCAAGGTACTGCCATTACGGCCCTGATTCTACAAGATACTTTTATAGGTGTTGATCCGTTTGCTACCCTCTTTTTTATCACATACTTCTATCTAAATACATTCTTCTAACTCTCTAATGTGTACAGGGTAATACAATCTTTCAAACTCCAACTGGTGGTCTACGGCAAGTCCTGGAATTGTGACCCAACTCTTTGCAATTTGAACAACATTGTGGTGCCCTGTTTGGAAAATCAGGAAGCTGACCCGACATTGCTTGCCTTTTTTTCTGAAGGTCTCCTGCTCTTTTCCTCACAACCTTTGGGCGACCCCGTGGTGCGCTCAATACTGGTGGAAGGCAGGCAGCAGTATTGGAACGGGTAGGTGTTTGGTTATACTCCTCATCTGTTACTGGAGGAATACTTTGACTATTCCAATTGACGGCAGCAGTTGTGTTTGAGGTAAAAACAGTATATCCAAATGCTGATATATAGCTGTCAGAGTCTGGACGGGGGGTATTTGTCGGTATCCAAGAAAAGGAATCTCTTCCGCTGCTATTCTGTACCCTCATAATGGTATCGGTTTCCAACAAGTCAGGTTGTCCGTTGGGTTTTGCTGGAGTTACCGGATTTTTGGCCTTGATAGTTCGAATATCTATAGGTTGGAAGTTGTATAGGTATGTGTTGCGGTATTCAGCAACTGTCAGTTGTTCGGGCATATACTGTATGGGTTGCTTCTTGATGAAATGGATGCAAGCAATCCCGTGTACACATGGTACCGCGTTTTCTTGAAATTTGCTGCAGGAACAGAATGCCGTTAAGAGATTAACCTCGAAAGCCTTTCCAGTCAAATCGATCACTCTTCCCCGATTCTCATCCGACATTTGGACTTTCCGTTGGGTGGAACCATAGGCAAGAGAATCTGTTATAATGGTTAGTTTCAAATCACGTACGGGAATTAAGATAGTCTACCTTTGAGTAAATTCTGACCATAAACAGTCAAACATTGAGTTGAGGGATACTTGTTTGCATCTTTCAACCGTTGAAATCGTAGGTGCATTACTTTATGCCAGAGTGAATCAAGAAGATCAAGGCAAGGCAGCGCTCGTTCCTCCAATATCATATTGTTCATTGATTCCACGATATTGGAGGTCAAATGACCATATGTGCGGCCAGGGAAGTAAGGTGCGCAGTACTTGGTTTTGTCAATGTTCTCAACGTACTTTGCTGCTGTTTTGCTATGCTCTCTCAATGCCTCTAGCCGTTCGTTGAATTCTTCTTTTGTATAGCTTGCAGCTATCCGTTTAAAGAGAATCCGAGCAGTACTCCGGAATGTTTTATAAACATTATCCGAAATATGCTGTGTGCAAAATGCACGTCGACTTCTGTCCAATACGTTGTCGGTTGCAATGGATAACCCTTTGTCTCTATCACTCATGACGGTCACATTTGGCTGATTGATTTCCAGAATGGCTGCCTTTAAATTGAGTAGAAAAAAACGCCAGGACTCTTCGTTTTCCCCCTCTACCAATGCCCATGCCAAAATACAACCGTGATTGTCACCATCGATGCTTACAGCCAGTAGTATAGTCTGTACATATTGTGTTTTGGTAAATGTACCATCGATCGCTAAAAATGGACGGCAGTGGCTAAATGATTCTCGACTGGTCGGCGGGCAGATGAATATTCGTTCAAAGCGGTCCGTATTTTTGTTGATTGCAATCTGAACATATGCGTCAAGTTTTTCTAAAGCTCCAGCATATGCAGGAAGTAGGGCGTATTGTGCTGCCTGCGCCTTCAAACTATTGCCAAGTAATGCACGTTTGGCCTTGGATGCAGCGGCGGTGGTGATCTTTTCATGATGTCTGTGCAAAACCGCTTGGACTATAGTAGCTGGTGTTGTTTTGTTGTCGATTGTCAAAGTCTTTGGAAGGTTTTCTACAAGCCAAGAATGCTTGCTTGATGCCGACCGAGAATACTCTCCCGATCCATAGCAGATATGAATAGGATCAACTTTTCCAACCTCAACATCTTCCTCCATTTTCCAAAATGCCCGAACAGTAAATGAGCATGCCACTGCACGACATCTAATAATGGTTCGGACCTTATCACTCTTATAGACATTGTAGAAAAATTTTTCCTTGATTGACTAATCCGCTACCGCAGCTTTGAATTCCTTAAAAGAAGGAAATTGGTCTCCGGTGGATAGCATAGCGGTGAAATTCTATTGACTCTGAATACTGTTAGTTTAAGCTCCCGTCAAATATTTGGGTATTCTTGAACTACCTGCTCTCAATTGAAAAATATCTCGGAAATATGATAGCGAATGCAGTACTTACACCTGGGGGCGGTCCAGTTTTTTAAGCCATGAGGCGAACAGGAAAGAAAGAAAAAAAATTTTTTTCACTACTTTTTTTACTCTAACCCAGTTGAAACTATTTACATGGCATATTATTCTCAGTGTGGCATTCGGGACCCCGGCCTGCCTTTTGGCGTGGCATTCTGGGAGTTTTCCGTGAATGGATATATAAGGGGGCGTTGTCTCGTGCTTTTGTCTGTTTTCCTTCTTCTCTTTTTTCCTTACGCAATCTCTGTATTCTACTCTGCGAATATTACTTTTATTCTACGCTACGTCATAGGGCTCATCTTGGATCTCCGACCAGGATTGAACCATCCCATAGTCCATAGTCATGAACATACTCTACTACGTTCTCGCCTCGGTTGTATTCCTTGGCACTATAGTCTCTCGTCCATAGACCCACGTTATAGTCTCGGTATTTCTTTCCCTTATACTAATTTCTGGCTCGGCATTGCTTGGCTTCAATCAGCGTCAACTCCCATTGGCCTACCACTCGTTGCCACTCACTGCGCCTCGCAATCTCAACCAATCATGCAAAGCATCTCAGTATTTAACGTGCACGCCCGGTACATGTATCTAATCAGATTGACGCATGGCGGAAAACCTGGTAATATATGACTGACTACATGTATGTATGTATCAGACTATCGGACAAAACTGTCTCTACTACCAATCACCTGGTATGGAGAATCGATACGAGATGAGGTTCACACGCCGGCTTGAAAGTCGGGCTCAGTACTCTAGGTAAATGATTTATCGGGGGGCTAGTGAAAACCTAACCCTAATCAATGAAGCGCGATCATTGGCTTTCCTAGAACCATGACGTCATTGGACGACTCCCGTGGAAATTTGGATCAATAAAATTTAGAGAGCAGCCTTTCCGCCAATAATATTAAACGGAGCAATGTGATTGGTGGGTGACAGCAATAAGTAGGTTGCTAGCCGTTGAAAGAGCACTGGACAGAACGGACAGAACTCCAAAACCGCTCCTAAACTCCTTCCATCGATAGTTATATACCATCAATAGGATGGGTATACCTACTAATATAAAGGGCTGTCTGGCCGACCCTAAGCCTGAATTCTATGATTTCATAATATTCTGGATCACAAGATATGATGCGGCTTCCTCCTCTTCGGCTTTGATGCGGGCAGCTTCTCCCTCCTTGGCGTTGATACGGGCTCCTTCTGCCTCTTCGGCCTTGATGCAGGCAGCTTCGGCTTCTTCCTCTTCGGCTTTGATGCGAGCTCTTCGGCTTTGATGGGGGCGGCTTTGATGGGGGCGGCTTCTTCCTCCTCAATTTTGATAAGCATAGCGGTTTCCCCGTCCTTGATTCTGGGCAGGAATCGGATATGAAACAGCCTTGAGAGGGAATTTTTGGCTTGGTGGATAGAGGTGCGAAGTATTTGAGTGCTTTCGAGTGGATTGCTTGAGGGTATGTAGTAAGTTAGCCCGTCTTCAAGTAAACCTCAAAAACCTCTAATCAGGTTGGTCGTTGTGCAAGGTGTTATACGTACATAATGAAGATAGGCTTGAGTGATTGATGAAAAAGATAAGGTCTTTCATCAATGCTACCTATTGTTGAGGCCCTAGTATACTGGTTCTAGGTGACAGAGCTACATGTAGTTACATACATATTGGGCTTGAGGGTGCACACGTGTGCCATTTCTATTTTCACGCGAGTCTGCCTAGGTTCAAAACTGTGGCATCGAGGAGCTTAATCGGTGTTTATATTTGATATCAAAGACATCAGTGTGAATCAAGTTACAGCTAAGCAGTGTGCCACTTTTGGCGCTGCTGATATTACAGATACATACTTCTTCCAAGAGAAGTAATAAGCTATACCTATGGAGCCCCCGCTAAATGTGGAAAAAATGCGCGACAAAAGAAAAAAAAGTGACCAACACCTGTAAAAGAAAACACCCCATATGAACCCATATGAACCCCTATAAAACCCGTGCGCCATTCTAAATGAAACAGAAACATGCATAAAAGCTAGCAAGGAAGAAGAAATATAGCTATTTCCTAAGAAAGATGGTGATTTTTACTTCAGTAGCTTGGAAACGAGAAGAGGAAAAAAAAAAAAAAAACTTGATGTGAAGCCTCCTACGCAAATTGAAGCTCCTCACATCCAACCGCAGATCTCTTCAAGAGTCCGCGAATACGGACAATTCCCCACTTCCCCCCCGCACGCTCAATTCTCCAAGCACACTGACTGACCGCAATGATGATCCCGTCCAGCTGGATTGGGAGTCCTTCTGAATGTGCGTCGAAGAAGTTCTTCGCGATGGTCAGAGCGTCGTCGTAAACACGTCTTCTGGGGCCGCCGTCTTGGACGTTCCCTCTGTAGCCGCTATTTTCGTCATGGAAGAAGCCATTGAGGACCTGGACTCTGCGGATGTTCTTGCAGCGCTTAAGGCCATTGAGGAAGATTCTCCAGGCAACAGGGGTGTTGACCAGGGAAAGGGCAAGCTCTGTAAAGCCTTGGCCGCCGTTGTGTACATCTGCGAATATCTTGTTGAGATCATCGGTGTTGAGAACCCACTGTTCCTTCAAGCCTAGTTTCTCGACCTTGTGGCCATAAAACGGAAATGCATTCAGCACGACTGTACGCAGCTTACCCAGAGGAATTGGCTCACAACGCTCGCGGGCATCAGTCAGGAAGGTAAGCTCCTTTTTGTTCCCACCGGGGATGGTGAAGAGTGCATCAATGGTAATTTCAATGAACCCTAGTCCACTGGACCTGAACACTTCAAGACCCTTCCAGCACATCTTGGTGAACTTGAACTTGCTATGTTCCATACAACCTATTAGTTCGAGTGTTTTGAGACAGCCGGGCTCAATCTCATGGCTGATGAATTCTGTATCGACTATAAAGCCAGTGAGCTGTAGAGTGTGCAATTTCAGCTTCTTTTTGCGATCTTGCATTAACGGCGACATGGCTTGTTTATAGACCTGCCAGTCGAGGATCGGAGGAGTCTTGATATCCTCTGCTGAATTAGGGAGGTTGGAAACGCGGTGGTAGGAGTCAAATAATTGACCATAACGCTTTTGGTCAATATGTGGCATTGCAAGTTCAAGGATACGGAGGGTGTCAGATAAGGATATAATGGTACTCCAGACTTGTAACCAATACGTTCCACCTCTGGTGGGAAGATTGTTTAGTCGTAGCTCCACAAGCGGAAGATTGCAGAGCAAAAGGATGCTTGGGCGGTACTTTGGCAAAGCTACCCAATCGGGGGTATTGGCCCCTTGTTGTTGACGTTTCTTCCTCATTGGTTGCGAGAGATTTAGCTTGAGGGTGGTGACAGATTTAATCCCACCCAGAGCCAAGAGAGACTCATTATTCATCGGAACAGGGGAATCCAGAGAGAAAGTCTTCAGACCCAGGGTACTCTCCAAGATATCGCCGAGGAAACCGTTGATTCCATTGAACCCACCATCACTATCAAGACCTTCATCTTCGATGAGTTCACTAACACGATTTCTACTAATCGTCACCTTTCCATTTTCACCAAGAATAGCTTCTTCCGGGAGAAAGTGGTCGTTATCCATCAGCCTAGTTTGGTTTTCTTCAAAGCCCATCCCAAGACGAATATTCTTTGTCCATTTCTGCAGTTTGGGTTTATTCGCCTTGTTGTGCAAGGACTTTAACAGGCGGCTTAAATATGAGAAGGAGTATCCGTGTGGAGGGTTTGGACGCAGCCAAATTGTCTCATAAAGTAGTGGCTCAATGGCTCTCTTGACACGTTTCGAAACCCTGAGAAGACGGGCGAGATCCCACTGCTCAAGCTGAACTCAGGTTAGTATCCCTGGTTCGAGAAGGGAGAACTGGGAACTTACATAGGCACCAATCTTACGCCAAATACCACCGGAGCCCAAACCACTCATGCTCGAGAAGGCAACTTCAACATCAATCGTCCTGGTTGAGATGACGGATTGTGAATCGGCAGCCACTTCAGGACTTTCATGGTCACTAACAGGAGGTGATTTAAGAACCCCAATCACACCGCGTCCAATGTGTACTAGGACTGCCTGTCTTGGGGCAGCACGAGCCATCTGAAGATGTGGCGGTATTTCAAGTCTTTCAAGCCTATCTGGGGTCACAGGACTAGACAAAAGTGAAGATGAACGTGTGGGAAAGTTCCTCTCTGGAGAGGTAGGAGATGGAGGCTCCATACTTGAATGAACCCCGGGGAAGCTATCCCAACTCTCCATGTTTTGATCCACATCTGTCAGAACGAGATTGCTTTGTAGTTCACCTGCACCTGATTCCTCGTCCTCCTCTGATTGCAGTTGAAGCCTCTCAGTGTTTGCCCTAGTGAACACCCTGTTCTCCCGTTCGGAGGGCTGCAGAAGTAAGCTTCTCCTCTCCATCCTCAAACTTCTGACTGCACCTGTTCTAACTGGTGAGCCGGGAGACCTCAATCCCCCCCGTCTGAGAGGAGAGGACACTGCCGCAAGGTTGAGAGGTGATGGCATGAGCGGAGACGTCGAGAAACGCAACTCTGGTAGTACGTGTGGAACAGTGACCTTCTGAGTCGTGGTAGGAATTTCCAAACCCCTTGGATGTCTTGGTGGAACAGATGGGGCAATAGGAGATGTAGTGGATCGTCGCCTTAAAACATTTGGCTTCGATGGTGGAGTGGTGATGATGGCCGGTGGAATGGTAAGTGTAAGAGGGGGGATGGTGGGGACGGCGGGGTTGGCAGCACGGCGCCGACGGCCGATAAGAGTAAAGGAATCAGTGAAATTGACAGATACAGAACGCCTGGGCGTTCGAGGGAAGGCTTGGCCGTCGGATGGTACTGGGATGGAGGATGGGGTTGCAGTTTGTGCCGTATGGGGACGTGGAGGACTAGGGGTTTGAGAGAGGCCCCCTAATTCCTCAGGCAGCATTGGTGGGGTAGAACCTCTAGAGCCAGCATGTGACTCAGGTGGGGTTGGTAAAAAAGCTGGTTTGTCCTTTATTACATGTTTGATGTCAGATTCTATTATACCTAGGAATAGGGAATTACTTACCGTGTGTGATTTTGGTGAGGTTTGTGAGAAGCTAAAAGATGGACATAATGTGGGTGACTGCAGACCTGCAAACCGGCGTGAAGGCTTTGCAGGTGTCTCTGGTGCAGCAGAAATCATGCTTGGAATGAGATCCACCCTTGTGGGCACGTATGAATTTTCATTCATGTCACCTGCACCATTTGTTTTTCTGCCTTTATCCATTTCAAACTTTGTAAACTCCGTCTCTAAGGAGTTTACGGATACTGGTGGTGATGGAGGAGGTGTGGGTAGAATGTGCACACCAAAAGCTGGGGTTGAAAATGAAAGTATGCTCAATCTAGGGTTTTGTGGATACCGGGACGGGAGAGGCGGCAGTGGGGTTGGAGGAGGCAGACGACGTGGACTGCTGGAATATACTTTAGCTACCCAGCCAGACATTCTACGGCCTCCCTTTGCTAAGGACCGGGAAAGTGAATGACGTCTCTTATGTGAAGAGCGGGTTGTGCCGGTATCTTGGCGAGAAGCGAGTGAGAGACTGTGATACATGATGGACAAGGTGGCAAGGGTATCAAGCTATTGGCTGCCTATATCCGATGCTCGAGATCAATCTCTTCGAAGGTTCCTATGAGTTACGAAAGTTGCTGATTTCGTTTTTATCCGTTATTGTTATATGGCCGAGATTTTAACACTTAGAATCCTAACTTCATGATCAATTAAGCTTATGTTCTGCATATTATCGATAAAAATATCGGGGCGCACTTACTCGTCTGTGTAATATAGGTTCTCTCTCGTGTATCTGCGTAATCGATCTGCGCACGAAGTTGTGGGTTATTTCTGTCTGTTGTATTATGCCTGCACTTTACAAACAAACAGTGTGCAAAAGGTCATCCTGAAAAAGCTGGATCTCTCCACCCATAGATATAGAAATATTTTTCACTCAAAATAGCCCTGAGATGATGTTTTATTCGCCGGCCGGCATCGGATAAGAATAAACACCGCCTACTCGGTGTGGTCCGCCGAACCAGTATACCTGACCGGAGATTGGTGGGTTCGGTGTCGATAGTACAGCTGAGCATGAGTGTGGCACAGCCCTACTACCAGCACAACCACAACCGCAACCGCCAGCACAACCACAACTCACATGCGAGCCTTTACCTAGGCATCGTTTCTATCCAGTTATCGTCTGGATATTCCAGATTAATCATCAAAAGATTCACACCTCGGGCGAAGATATCTGCAAATCGCAGGACAGTGGTTATCCCCTGACCTTGGAAACCGGGCCAAGGTCCATGGATCTAGGATAGACCCTGTTTGCCTCAATATTTTCCGCCCCGTACCGTGGTCATCTCTAAAACGTTAACCACTGCGTTGGGTTTCAGCACTAAACCTCCCAGGCTACAGTGTATGAGTTATCTGGCACCTATTCCAGTTGACGGAGGCCCCTCGAATCTCGATGATAAGTGCACTTTACCCAGGCGCCATGTCATCTCAGGCCTAGGGCGTACGTGACACCCACCGACATGGACATACAGCGAGATACCCGAGTATTGCCTTACGCTTACGTGAGTGTACGTCTGGTATTAAGAAGGACCCTATACGAAAATGAAACATAGCTGGAAGGAGCTGAGTGTGTGCCCTGGTGGGAATGTTTAGCCCGCTCAGCTTGGCAGGGTCCACATGGGTTAGGGTTTTATCTGTTGCATTAAACCTAGCCCTACTTATCTCGAAGAGAGGAGATATCACGAGGGAGAAAGTGGTCTAAGCAGTACTTATTCTAGAGAGTGTAACTTAAGTAGAATAATCCAGACGTGGAACTGACCAAGTGCTTGCCACTAAGCATGTGCTTTATATTGGATTAATCAATAATCAATCTTGCCACCAAAGGCGACATAATTAACCAACTAACCAATCCAATCTTGCTTCCAAAAGCGTTCAAGCTGGTTAATCTGTTACTACTAGAAACGACGTCGCTGGACGCTGACCCTATCCTACAGGGGCAGTTGTAAGCCTTGAACGAAGGCCCTGATTAACTGGTTTCTACATGTAGATAACCGCCTCCTAGCTCGCAGTCAGAAACTCGCATAGCTGGCGAAATTCTCGTTTTCTCCACCCTCGCAAAGAGGGCATGCATGAGCTACGCAGCCTCAACTCTGGTTATTTATTGATATTGTGTTAACATGGGTTAGGGTTGTTAATCCGCATAGATTAGCTAATCAGAGAGCGATATAGTTATAAGCTCTTACCCCCATAGCCCTTTACTTCGTTCGAACTCAGGGCATGTATATGATCTTAAGACCAATGATAGATCCATATTAATATATTGGTCCCAGAACTCTTGAAGAAATGGCTAGATGAGGGTAAGGTCTTCCTGATCACGTGTTTGAGCCCCTGTAAGGACCTAGTTCATAAGCGTTAGTCCTGACCATAACAATCGGTTGAGGATCCATTTATCTCAATGCTAAAGTTTATAAATCTGTAACCAAGTCGAACTTCATTGCGAAACGATCTTTAAAATCAGTCTGAGCTACATCATATATAGAACTGACAAATATCTGGGAAACACTAATAGCGTGTGTCTAGATATAAAGAATTTCCCGAGCGAGGCAATTAAAGGGGATTCGCTTTACTGAAAATCTATTTGTGCTTTTTTGATGTGACGTGTGAATTTGGATAACATCGTATTTCCACCTAAAACTATAGAGTGGACAATTGATACTTGACTATGCGTATTCTGATACATAAAATATAAAGATAACTGATGTAAAACCTTAATGTGGCAATTTCTTCCGTACATATGATCTAACACCTGCATTCTTTTTAGTTTTCCCATATTCAGCGTTATAATTTAGCTAATAAATTTACGTCAGAAACAGAGCTTCAAGAAGACGGCAGTTCCGTGATAGATGAACAGACTTACTTGGGTAAAATAAAATGTGTGTAAGAGGACTCATTGGGGAGTATCTATCGACGCCTTTCTTTTGGAGGAATCAATCACTTCCGAGTATGATATTTACTTGTGGCAGTGCCAGCGTTTCCACCAGACATCTCGACGTTCGCCTCGGAGATATCCAATTCTAAACTCAAGATGTTGTTCAAAGCCAAGCATCCTTTGAGACTATGATTTAATATGGTTTCCTCCTTCTTCAGGGCTTTCATCTCGGTCGAAAGACTCTCACGCTCACTGATGAGATCTAGAGCGATATCCTCGTTGGATAGTTTCCTCAAGGTTGCTGATGTTTGATCAAATTGAGTAGTGATAGAAGGAAGTTCATCATGAGTGATAGCTTCAAGACGATTGGCGAGTTTTTCGATGCAGCTGCGGATTTCAGTAACGCGTTGGCGGAGGAGGGCCATCTCTTCAGGAGTGGGGATGCGGATTTTGCGAGCCATTGATGATGATGGGCTTTGGGAGAAGTTATAATTAGCTTGTGTGAAAATATTTAAAAGCTTGTGAGTAACGATAAAATGGAGGAGGGGCTGGTTACTAGTTTTCTTGTCTGATAAAATAATGTAAATATGAGGCAGAAATACTTGTAGAGTTGATAAAGCCTGTTAGAGATGTTACCGAGATGAGAGGTAGATAAGAGAAGTAAAGGTGAGATTTGGTGGATGATTTGAATATATGTAGTTGTCCCGGTAACTACATGTACTTGCTAGCTCGAAGTATGAATGTTTATAAAGAGCCCCCTGTTAGATATATTGGCCATGGCTCTTGGCACGGGCACTTTAGACAATTGTACCCTGGAGGTAGCCCTTATTCCTTTCGCACCAGAATACGCTAAGAAGCATGAGATTAATGTGAGAAGAGGGGGAGACAGATCAATGATTTAACTGGCTTTCCCACAAATAACGGATGTTTTCATGATATCTCAAAGCATAATGTGGCGGATATTGATCGGTAACGTTGTGCTTGTTGACTTGGGAAAAGTAGGATTTATGATATATCATGGCTCTAGATCTATACATATACCAAGTTCGTTTCTCAAGGAGAAGAAGGTTGGAGTATATAGAACGACAGGCCGGATCCAACTCTTAGGCTCCCTTGTTGAAGAAAACAGAGGTATACATACAAGTATATCAACATACAAAGACATGTACTGGTATACAGCCTCTGTTGTAGTAAATTCATATTAGTGCCACTCTTTTTCTCATGTATTTGAGTGCGGCAGCGTGACTGTTAACGTAACACGGCCGGAGTCATCATACCGCCAAAGTTGGTTACGGAGTTCCAATGGATACCTTCTATTCATATATTTTAATACATGGAATTATATTAATAAAACGTGTTCAATAGCCACCAGAGTGTCTTAAGTGATATGGGTTGCAGTTGATGAAGGTACCGAAACAGGAGAGAGGTGATATGCTCCTGCTAGAAATTAAGCTTTGACTGATGCCACATCTACACGACACAGAAACGATAGGGCACAAACTGATCGGACGACACGTGTCGAGTTAATTCACCAACAATGTGAACCACGAGACTATTTGAGGCGAGAGTCACAAAAAATAATACCGAAGAACACAAACATGAAGAATACATACATGCATCTGAGATTATCAGATCTCGAGTCAAAGCAAGTCATAAAATCGATCCCCTCCTCGATCGACGCCATGGGTTCATATGATTATCCGCTCACCTGTACGGTATTGCGCATATAGTAGATATCACTCACCGAATTAAGTGGAAATTTTAGGAAGAAGCTTAAGTACTGTGCATTTATTGAGAGAGAGCGTCCTGTGGAATCACTCATCAAGGTATTGCAACCCTTTCACTCGAGCTGAAATCAAATACCTACATTGTTTATTAACGCTAGAGATTATACTATTCTCACCGGAATGTACAAGAAAGGTCATACGGGTCCAAACCCAGGCGTGGGCCAGCTGTAGGTTTGCTCTAAATAACATTGATAAATATATATAAAGTTAAAGGAAACTAACAGTGCTAACTATCTATGTACAGCGAGAGGTTATAAGTGATGGAACGCACTGAGATACAGTTATATCTAAAAACAGCGTATGTTGGTGGCGTTTTACCCAGAACAGGTATCAATGTGTCTCAGGCCGTTCCATCACTATGTTATTACCTGCCGCTATACAGGCGAAGAAGGATATCTATCAAAACTGCAGCATGGAAATACGTATACCATAACCCAAACGAAGAACAGGCCCAGCTGGTTTTCTTTCTTCGATGGTATCTATTTACACATCATTCGTCTTTGACGGCATAAATCCATACCTGTTTCGATGCTGATGATACGATCCGGCCTCCAGCGACATCAACCGTTGCATTATTCTGCCTGGTGCATACATTTAGAAGAAGCTGCAAATGATCTTTCCATATTGACTCGCATTTCATCCGCACAGGCACCGTGCTAGTCCCGCAAATCATTACTTTGACTCCGTCTTTGCTGATCGTGAAACCGCACCTGTTCTTCGTCCCGTCGCCGTCCTTTCCAGGCCAGGGAATGAAGTCGCAATCTTCAGTGCTATGTTCTTTAACTGTCTCAATTATGGATTTGAGACCGGGGACAGGGGGGGAGATTTCGCTGGCATAGCATTCTGGAATTCGGAGTTCTCTGAGATGAGAGAAGGGGTCTACTCCGGGGATAGGCCCAGCGAGAATGAGAAGAGGTTGCGCAAGCAAAGCCAGAGAAAGGAAAAGTGTTATGTGCATTTATGAGGTTGATTTGTCCTATAATATATATGATGAATCGATAACTTTGGTGGGTTTAAATATTTGGAAGAACAGTTTGAAGTTTATTTTATACCCGTGTAGGTAGGATGACGATCTGTTTCTATATAACAGTCTTGTGGCAGTATTTTTTGCATTCAAATCACCTCCCATTTTCAAATCTGAATTCTACCGTCGCTAACTCCTTGTTAAACTCTGTTGCAGTTAGCCAACAATGAAAAGGGGACATGCAGACTCATCTCCATCTCTTGGAACACGGGGAATTCTATTTCACACCCAGTTTTGATACTTCTTACAGGTCAATGATATGATTCGACCATACTACGTTGTCGTTAATACCCTGTTTGGAAACCGTGAAAGAACGACTTGCATTTGACGGAAAGGCGATCATATCATGAGAGGGGTCAATGACTTCTTTGTTCTTAACCATAAGTATCACTGTATTTCCGATCGCAAGAAGCAAACTAGTCAAGATGACTCACTCGAAATATAAAATAAAGCATAGATCAGCTGTCCGAAATCATGGACTTAATCTTTACGCCATGAAATAACGCAGAGAAAGCCTTTAGCAACCTTTCGCTATATTAGATGCTCAATAATCACCTTGCTATCTGCACTTTCAAGTAACTTATTAGTATTGTGGATCCGGGGCTGGTAGTTGTCGACATACGTATCATGTTACAGTGTTGCGCAGTAGCCTTCACATGCACTGGTTTGATCGGGCGGAACGATTGAGTTCGTTGCGTTGGGATCTCTGGTGAATATTAAATTCAGCTACATGGTATAATCACGTATGGGAATGCTCTCCAAGTAAAAATGAGTATGATTCATATTACATGCGTGAAGAGACCTTAATTAATGAAGATAGGTAAATACATGTATGCGAACATCAGTGATACGACCTTGCCTCGACTCACAAATCCGATAGCGAGAAGAAAGTAAAGCAACAACGGCAAAGACGTGCTACGGAGGCCTGTACTATTAGAACCGTCATATCATGCAGGGTAGAGGTAGAGGTAGGGCGTGGTCGCAACCGTGAATAGGACTGTACTGTTGCAAATCATTGTAGTGTTCACCGCTTATAATACAACTTGCAATTGGAGATAGACGATTGCTTGGAAATAGAAGATAATTGCTTGAGAATGGGAAATAGCGGTCATTATTTAAGTATTTGATGGTGAATAGTACTGCAAATTCTGTGTTTTGCAATTTAGGGTGGTCGAGGGGCTGTCTAAATTACAGTACTTCTGCTAAATCCTTTTTTTAAAAAGATAATTTCTGTAAAAGCCTCAATGCCTAGGATTTTTGGTACCAGGTTTGGTGGCCTGCAGTGGTTCGCTTACTTTCTTGCGAGTAGGCCCGAAAGTCAATCAAAACATTACCAAGAAGTTTTTTGATAATTTATCTCAAAGCCGCAGGTTAGAAATTTGAAGTCTCTGTGACAGTTATGATATTTCGAGAGGTGTTGCCTGCTGGTTTTTGTGGCATTGTAGGATTTCCCGTTGATATGACGGTTCTAATAATATAGGCCTCCGTAGGCGTGCCTCCTCCTGAAGAAAAATACAATAAAATCAAGGACATAAAAACGCTCAATCAACCCAGACTTAAAAACGCTGTTCGAAATAACGGTAAAGATAGAAAACATTATTACAACAACCAAATATAAACATTCCCTTCAAGGGGCGCTTTGGGGCGCTCCGAAATGTCCGAAGAAGACACAAGCGTATCGTATTTCGCCGACAGTAGCGTGAGAATGAGGAAGACTCCTGTGAATATAAACGCGAACAAGGTCTCATCACGGTGGAAACGAATCTCACGAGAAAAGAAGAATGGCAGCAGAAAGCATAGAGAAATGCCAAAGAAGACACAGAAGATGTAGGTACCTGTTGAGGGGCGAACAGGAGGTTTTTGATGATTTTCTAGACTCGTAGGTCTGAGATTTAGGTTGTATCGGGATGACATGGTTGTTGAGAAGTTTAATGGATGTTGAGGTTTAGTGGATCTTTGATTTTTAGTGATACTTTATATTTGAGTCATGTGGATTATATAGGATTATGTTTTCGAGTTTTGGATAGAGAATCTTGAAAACTTGAGGTTAAGTTTCACGGCAGTGTTTCACAATCCATCTCTAGCCTATAAGATGTTTCAGCCACAAGGTTGCTTCATCGAATTTCTTTGTTGGACCCGATTATTACTATTCCGACTGTTTTGGGGTCGGGCCTTGAGACTCACTACTGCGGATATTATCATACTTCTAAACAGTAACGTTAACACAGGTAGACACAGATTCTAGAAGAGGGAGTAACCGTAGGAAAGAATCGGAGAAACGAAGAACATACATGTACTCGCATATCAAGTATGTTTTTGCGCAACCAGCGAAACACACAGAATCTCGAGAGCTTTCCCATCTCCCCTGAAATTATGTATCTTTTATCTAGACACCTGAAAGACTCTACAGGCCACTTTTAGGCCATATCCATAAAGAACGAGGCGAAGGGTGTCTTAAAAGTCCTTTTATTGCTTTCCTCTCCACCTTTACTAGTATCTTAATTAGGCCAAAAATTTGAAGCATGAATCTCCCTTATCGAAATTATGCTATACTTGGTCGTTGCAGTTTTGGTATAACTATGAGACTTTTTACGAGTTGTTGAAAACCTCGATTTTTGGTGTGTTTTGCTGGTTGGGCAAATACATAGTTGACAAGCGAGTATATGACACCTAACTGCTCTACGGCAAACTTCTTAATATGAAGTAGGCATACTTCAAAATTAGGTGTCTTAGTTCATGAATTATCACTCGCGATCGATTACGAAATCAAGATATGATGGAGCTGGTACGTCAGGCCAGGCAACTTAGGCGAGTAGGGTCATCCATTCCCTTGGTTGCTCAGACTAATCAGTATACTTAAGCATTCAGGGGTGACTAAAGCTGTATACTTCATATGGAGGGATCCGGATCAATAATGCGTGAACATACCCTATATGGGAGTGCTTGCAATTAATTGTAGTTTCCCAACATCTTTTAAAATGGACGCGTAGAAAGGGCGTAAATTCGCAGAGTTTAAATTACACATTTTGTGCATAGCAGCCATGATAATAAGGTTTTCGCACCTCTATGCACGTACCCGTCCGATTTGCACTTGTATCCGTGCCTTTTTAACGTGTCTATGCACATATCAGCCGCCTTTCATCGACGTCATCACCGTTCATAGTAATCACTACATTACTTGTATGGCTGCTAACATCTATAGTGGGCTTGAGAGTGAACTATTTATTACTATAGAGTACCATCCTTGTATCTATGTACTTGCTCTTATTCCAGTCGACTACATGTAGCTCCTAATCTGGCACACGACGGCGCGATTCTACCACAGCGTAGCAGCATGTTTACCTAAGAAGTAATAGCTCCGGGATCTTCTCAATGGTGGAGCGCAGGTACGCACAGGTACGCACATTGAATTTAAGAATAAGCTTCTGAAACCATCAACTAACTACAACATGTCTGTTACATTTTCATACAGAAATAAGCTATACAAAAATACAAGTCTAACCCATTAACTCGAACTTACTAGGCATAGAAAGTCTATGAAGTAGATCCAACCACCGCGTTAAAGTTAACATACCCACTGGACGGACAACTGTTTGTAATTTTTGCCGGCCCTGTTGCAGTCTTTCCGTTGATCTCGACCACAACATCGCCCGTCCTTCCTGAAAACGGCAATTCTACCAACTTGACTCCCTTCGCCACAGAGAAGGTATTCCCTTGACCACCGATTGTCACTTTCACGGTTGTTGCGGTATTGCTTGCAGTCACAACGAATACGCTATCTCTAACACAATTGACCGCCGATCCACCAGTACCGGCGTTACCGCAGGTTGTGGAGCCATCACCGCAGACGGCCTTGGGCGTGGTCCGATACCAAAACATAGCCCCTTCGGTCGCGACAGTGATATCACGTGTACCGGCTTTGTAGGCCGCGATGTAGTACGGTAGGATGAAGCGCCAGGCGTCGTGGGGCATGTTATTGACATAGACCTCGGCACCAGAGACGATACCTTGGCTGCGTATGGGGCCAATGTAGTGTGATTCGCCGTAGTCGTTCCAGGTGATGATCTTGGAGGTAACGGTTAGAGTTAATCAGCTAAACATAGGGAATATAGGAAATCTCACCTCAACATATTGCGGGAGAACATCAATCACAGACTCCCAACGGTCAAACCACAGGGTGTCGGAGTCCCAATTCCAGTTTTTGGAGTACTGTGGAAGCCTGGTGTAAAACCATGGTGACACAGCCATCATGTACGGCTTTCCATTGATCGCACTGATCCACTGATTATCGGAATCAGTTGTCTTTTTGGCCGGGGTAGTACCAAGCGGCCATGCATCCCACACAACTATGTATGAAAAATCAGCACAGGGTACTGAATACGAATACAGGATATGACATATACTCACAGGCACCATCAACGACGTCTAAATGGGTAGCAAACGTCTGTGGCCCCATTGAAGCCCAGTCAGGAACTAAAAACAATTGTCCGGTACTCGATTCAACGTCACTCCACTGGGAGACAAAGTTTGTGCCCTCAAATGTCGAAACCATGGGCTTTCCGTTGACCTTGAACTGCGCAGAGCTGTCTTTATAGGCATTAATGAATTTCGCAACTTTGGACACATCCCATGTTCCGCAACAGAGCTATCAATTAATCTACATTAGCATGGTTCAGAACTCTCAAGCACGATTGAAGTGTCTCACCATGTCGAATGAGATGAACAACTTGAAGTTATTTGCCTCTGCAGCTTTGTAGGCTAGAGCAAGCTGTTCTTCACCGTAAGAGTCGGTGGGACCGGCATTAAGGGCAAAGCCATCAATGGAGGCGGCTTTGGCGAGTTGGATGTCTTTTGCCCAGTCGTCCAGGGTTTGGCCGTAGGTATTGCCAACCTAAATTTCTTAGCTTTGTTGATTTGGATATTTGATATTGATTTGAATAAGCTTACCATGTAGTGCGCAAATACCTCCCGCGCTGCCATTGCTGACAGAGGGGAGAGTGCGAGAGCTACGAGAAGAGAAGAGATCGAACGCATGATGGGTGAACTTTCTATGATGGTAAAGGGTAAAAAGTGATACACCGAATGCGCATCACAAGGACCTGGAATGGGGGGGGTTTTTATATATGAATCAACTGACCATGGTATGACTTGCAGTATAGTAACTACCATATACAAGCCCCTCAATCATTAGGATTCTACTGCCAGGCACTAAATCTAGATATTACCTTGTCCATGTAAGAAAGGAGATTGGTTGAATCCGACCGACTCTAGTTTTCACCGTAACCTAACTAGCATCTAGAAAACTTCACATGGGAGAAGAGAAGGAAGGAAGGAGCAACCTTAGGATCCAAGAAGCACTAAATCGGAAGTAACGGCTACGGTGCAGTGTTTTATTGTGCTGGCACCTTTAAGCTTATTATTGCGGCGTACCTGAGCCAATTCAAGTAAGACTACGGCCGGCCAATATCATGGCCATTAATCCCCCCAGTAAGCACAAATCCCGAGAGGATTAATAACCTGTAAGCACAGCTATCGTACCTGCGAAACCTTTGGTAATTAGGATTCCTTGAGCTAGCCCAACTATACATTTGCTACCAACCAGGCGCCGACCCGGCCACAGACCTATTTATGGGGTGAGCGCAATCAAAACAGCCTACATGTGCCTGTAAGATGCATCGGGACTAAAGACTTTCTATCCCTAGCAATGCCGGATGCGCAGAGCCGCTCCATGAAATCTTCAAGGGATGAACAGTTTGTACTATGAATTGCCTGTGTAACCATCAAATCGGTGTCCAGAAGGGGTAGACCCAATAATATTGAAACAATGGCCAATCCAATAAACTTATACGGAAATCTACATAGCCTCCCTAACGGCTAGCATTGGCAGTTCTGATATACCTTTACATGAAGTCTAAACAGGGATACTAACTAATGCCGCGTTTTCAAAGCCAAGCACCCTTATAATAACCACATATGCTTAAAAACCATGTGCATGTTTCCAAGCTCAACGAGATACTATGCATATCCTTCCTAAAACGCTGCGTGGATGCAGCCGCGGAGTTCCTTGACAGTGTAACGTGACCGGGTATGCCCACGGATTTCGAATAGGTAAGTGATCTTCTCAACTTTGCACAGAGGTGGTTAAAATAGATCCTTGAAAGACTGCACGTTTTTATAATCATCGCGTGCTATCGGCAACGGGAGATCCATCGCAACTGCGCCTTCCGGGAGTTTACTAAAGTGGTGACTTGTAAGTGGGGTAGGGAGAATCTTCAGCATTTATGCGGTGAGTGTGTGAGCAGTTGTGTTGACTGATATTCTTCAGCTAAGGCTGAGCCGTACTGTGGTTACTCAAGCTTTGGCGTTTCACCTATAGGGGACTTTATGGCCGGCGGTAGAACGATATGCAATGGGGCCGCGACTGCTATGGTTGGGGACACCTTGAGACGGAGGGTGCGACATTCGGTTTGAGAAGTGGGTTAGGGTTACAGGGTAGGAGCGGGGAGCGGGTTAAGCGAGCTCAGGAGCTGAGCTTTCTACCATCACTCGCCATCACCCGTCCTCACCTACCATCACCCGTCCTCACCTACCATCACCCGTCCTCACCTACCATCACCGGTCATCACCCGTTGGCAATCTGATACTACCGCAGTATTCTACTCCGTAATGTATTGTTCCGTTCTTGAAAATGATAGTATGCTAATTGAGGATATAGTATGCCAGCTTTATCAAAAAGGGCGAGACAGCTGAGGGCAGCGCGCTGCAGCAAAAAAGTCAAGTTGAGCTCAGAGGACCTTATTCACGTACCCCAGGACTTACTGGAACGGTTGGATGATGAAAGTGAGGAAGGGTTTTGGACCATTGCGCAAGACCCTTACGCTGCAGAAGTCCATTGGGAAGATTATGCGGATACTTCAGATTGGGAAAGTGAAGAGGATTGCGAGTTTACAGAAGGAGAGTAGGAAGGAGATTTTGATAATGATGTGTTCACAAAAATGATGAGGCAGCGGAACTCTGAAGTTTTTGATAGGGCGCATATCAGATATCAGCGGGTATCTAAAGCTACAAAGCGTACTCAGCAAAGACATGCGAAGAAGCGGAAAGAGTTGGAAAAGGCAGCGAACGGGTTCAGAAGGCTTACTTCTCAAGGACTACTGTCAGGCACGATCAACAATATACAGTCCAGTTTAGCTTCAGGTTCTGTGTTGCACGATGAGTTTGCTAATCGCTCTGTTCTTTTTGTCAGAGAGTATCACGATGCAATCAATGATTTGGAGAAGATACTTAGCTCAAAAACCTTGACCGGACAGAATCTTATTCGGAATAAGGCGGTATTGTCCTATATGAATATTCAACTTTCAAGGAAAGAGAATGAAACGCGTGAAGGATTGGCTTTGATGATAGCGCGCTGTTATAATAGAGGAGTTTACTTTGCGCGGAAACTAGTAAGCTGGGAAATAAGCTGGAGGGAAAACCGGACGATAGAAGAAGGAAGGAAGGGATGCTATAGCAAAACGAAGTCTTGGTTTAATGATGAGGGAATACAATTGATAGTTAGAGACTGGTTATCGGGTAGTAAGGAAGCGGGTGAGTTTTTACTATTCAGTAAAACGCTTGAATCTTGTTTAGGTTATTGACTTGATTACGTTTTGCTTAATAGAATTGACTGCGTTTGGATTGGCGAAAACTATTGGAACTTATTTGGATTCAGCGCGCGCGGTTGAAGCAATTGAAGAGTGTTTTGGTCCGAACGGCAACAGAATTCGTGCCAGGACTGCAAGACGCTGGTTGAAGAAGATGGGGTTTGTTCACGATACAGTTAGGAAGGGAGTTTTTGTGGATGGACATGAGCGTCAAGACGTAGTACGCTACAGGCAAGAGGTGTTCATACCACAATGGAAAATCCATCAAACGCGTTTCGTTATATTCAAAGAGGACGGCACTTGGGAACCACCAGCAAGTTTAGCTCCCGGTGAAAAGCCTCTTGTTTTAATTACACATGATGAGTCTGTGTTTAATGCAAATGACGGGAAAAGAAAGGTATGGATGAAGAAGGGATCACAGCCTATCAGACCCAAATCTAAAGGACGAGGAATTATGGTTTCGGGCTTTTTAACACCCGGTGGCCGTCTCAAAGTACCGGATGAAATTACGGATTCAGAATTGCTAAGCAATATCATGTGGCATAAAGACGAAGCTGGTAAACCTATTCGAGATGCAATGATGTTTTTTGAATACGGGAAAGACAATTATTGGACTGGAGACAAAATGGTAGAACATACGATCCAAGTAGCATTGCCAATCTTTCGTTATGCATTTCCAGGATGTCAAGCTCTTTTTGCTTTCGATAATGCTTCAAATCATTGTTGCTTTGCCTCCGATGCACTACTGGCTTCAAAAATGAATAGAAATCCCGGCGGTTCTCAACCACACATGAGAGAAGGTTTTATACACTCAAAAGGCCTACCACAATCCATGGTTTTCTCCCAAAATCATCAGATTTCTGAGTTGCGTGGAAAACCCAAAGGAATTCAACAAGTTCTTTTGGAGCGAGGATTATGGCGTAATAGGAGAACAGATGGCTTTGCTTTCCTACTACAGTGTCCTACGACACATGGTAGATTTGGTTGTGCAACAATCGAAGGTGGATGCTGTGCTAGATCCGTTTTGGCAGCTGAACGTGACTTCCGTGAGCAAAAAGGCCGTCTACAGGAAGAGCTGGAGTCGCACAATCAATTGATAATATTCTACCCGAAATTTCACTGCGAATTAAATTTTATCGAGAGATACTGGTGTGCAGCCAAGTATTATGCCAGAGAGAACTGTCAATACTCTTTTGATGCGCTTCGAAGCACTGTGCCTTTAGCATTGGATTCGGTTTCAACAGTTTCAATTAATAGGTAATATTAACCTGAATCCTTATCAGAAATAAAATAGTCAAATTTAGCTTATTTAATTAATAGATATTATGTTTATTGCATGAGAATTTTGGAAGCGTATGTATCCGGCTTGAACTATGGTACAGCAGAGTTTAGAGAACGGGTCTATAGAGGTCATCGGCAGGTGGTGGATAAATCTAAATGGTAGGTACTTTGGTACTTGATTTCCTAATTAGGTAATATCTCGTAATTAGTAAGCATGTCTATCCCAATAGGGAAGGTGCTGCAGCGACATTTCTTGGAACTCTCACGCAAATCACCTGAAGAAAAATGGGAATAGCATCACCATAACAGTGATTAAATTAAATCGCCGTCTGTCACATTATTATTCATGAGTGTTACTATAGTATTACAGAGCTATTTTATTTTTACAGTGGTGTGGGCGTTGCCTATTAAGCCGTGAAGTTGACCCATTTCGACCCTCCGTCTCAAGGTGTCCCCAACCATACCTTGTCAAGTTGGCGTTGTTCATGGGAGGTGGGGCAGGGGGGTTACGCCTAATAGAGTACCTACACCAGGTAGACTCGTGGATGGGGGTATGCCGAATTGCACTCAAACTCGACGTTGCAACCAAGTTGAACGAACTGCTCACGCCCAAATAATCACTGTTCCGCATTCCTAGGCAGGTCTTGATCCGCAACGCTAGCTACATAGCTGCGCTGCCTGTATGCATAGCATACAATTATATCTGATCAATTATCAGTCCAGATACATAGTAACCTTCCTATTCTACCTAGGGACATCGAACGATTTGTAGCTGTTTTAGTAGAAAGCTTAACAGGGTGAGGAGTTAGGGTTCCGGCCTATTCCTTCCGAGTCATTCGAGATTGAACTGGTTGTATGTACGACCGTTCTGTTGGAATAATTAGATACTAAACCATTTTCAAACCTGAAGGAATTCTTAAAAGACATCGACTATCTAGCTGTCTGGGTAGAATTGTGGCTTTAATCATTTATGGTTCAAGCCTGGGCCAACGGAAAGAAGATGGATTACAATTGTGGGCGGGGTTAGGTAAACACAATAAAAGGATTATCGACTCCAGAAGGACCCTAACCCTGATGCCAATGATACTTCAGGAGCATATTTATGGGAGAGGTTTCATCAATAGTGGAGAAGGAGAGGAAGGGTGCGCTACGTCGATGGAAATTCCAATCTTCCTCTGGAACCTTGACATTTCTCTCTGCAACCCAAGACCAGCGTCTTAGATCCCACTACCTAGGCGTCAAACCTTGATCTCCTCAATCCTGAACTGGCGAACAAAGTCTTCTGTTGGCTCCTTCGAAAGCATATCTACAAACCTGACCGCCCATGAAGCAGGGCCTGCAAGTTTTGGCTCAGTGTTTGCTGCAAGCTCAGCGGAAAGGTTGAAGAATGAGACTGCAGCAACGGCGGCAAGCAGTGCCTCGTGGGATCCTTTAGAACTCCAGAGGATTGCAGCGATGACGGAGGAGAGAACACAACCGATCTTTACTCCGACTGTGTGTTAGACCGGAACAGTCGTAAAATTAGGGCGACTTACACCGGTGACCATGGTCTGAATCGGATCTCCATTTCGTAGGAGAAAGGTACTCACTCCATCAGATATGATATCTGTTGGTCCGGTCATCACGATAATACTGCCTAAACTATGTGTGAGAAATATTCATACCCAGAATTCGAGTTTCGATTGCACATCCTCCCACTATACCTTTGCTGTCCCTCGAAAGCTTTGAAATAATAGCTGCCAACTCCCTCTCCCTCTCCCTTCCACTCTTAGCACCAGCGCCATCGACACCCCTCATCGAAACATTTTCGCCGGCGAGAGTGAGAATTTCCCCTTCGTTCCCCTTGATGACCATTGAACCATTGGTGGTACCAGCTTTCTTTATAATCTTTGCAAAATTCCTTCGTGATTCTGTAGCACCGGCGCCAACAGGATCGAAGACGATAAAGTTCCCACAATCCTTGTGGGCTTTTATCGCGTTTATGAAAAGATTTTTTGTAGCCTCTTCGCCGAGAAAGGTGCCCATATTAAGGACAAGTGAGACGCTGCTCCCGAGTCGAGCAAGATCCTGGAATTCAGACTCGTTCTCAGACATAATTGGGGAGGCACCGATCGCAAGAGTGACGTTTGCGTGCAACGTCTTTGAGACGTTGTTAGTGATATGGTGAACGAGAGGGGGACCATTTTCGCGAAACTTTCGAAGCATTTGTAGAAGATCTGATGTAAGATCAACTTTTTTAGGCTCTTCATATACTATTGACAGGACAATGAGAGACTTAAGACTCTTGCATGTTCCTGTAGGCTCCGGGGACGCCATAATCGCAGACACAATAGCCAGACCTTCGAGCGACCTTACGGGAGAGGTATTCATGACGGTACCTGCATTCTGGGCGTTAATACCCCCAATAGCACAACATGGGAGGTCTGCTGGTATATGTTGAAGCAATTGCTGCAATCCATCAAGGCCGAGGGGCGTGTTGTGGTCTGGCTTGGTGGGGGTTGCGTAAACGGGGCCGACACCTAGGTATGTTGGGCCTGCTTCGAGGGCCTTTGCAAGCTGTTCTTTGTTCGAGACCGAAAGTCCGATAATTGCGTCGGGTCCGAGTATCTTGCGGGCTGTTTGACAGTCTGCAAGCACGAAGGAGTTAGTGATACCTCTATCCTGGGATATGACGTCGCAGCAACAACAGTAGCTGTAGCAGTAATAATGGCAGTAAAAGAAGTAGTGACCCCACCCATATCGTCCCACCCGACATGAACACCCTCACACCCCACTGCGAGTGCAACATCGACACGGTCGTTGATGAGAAGCGGCACACCGAGCTCTTTCGTGACGGCGTGGACCTGTTTTCCCAGGGAAATGAATGCGGCTGTAGAGAGTTTCTTCTCACGCAGTTGCACGATCGTCACACCGCCTTTGATGGAGGCACGGACATGCTCTGGGAGAGTTGTTCCCGGTGGGAGTAGCGAGGAGTCGGTGACGAGGTAGAGGGTTAAGTCTGGGCTTGGTGGGGCCATCTTTTTCTTTTCCGATATATATCTGGAAGTGGCGATGGATGTGCAATTTATTGCCGGCCAGATATCACATTTTCCAAGCTCATCCACGCTCATTCGCACTTAATTATGCCCGTGCGGGTAAAGCCTCATCGCATCACCCTGCATCCTCAATGCCCACCGGCCCCGGCCGCACATTATTAACCCTAACCCACAAACGCCAGGGATCGATTTGCCCCGCTAATAAACAACTGTGAGCTCATCCCCACTATAACGACGAAACATTTCACAAAATGTCAGCAGAAGCAACACCCCCAAGAGTACTGACAATTGCTGGCTCCGACCCGTCAGGCGGCGCGGGGATTGAGGCCGATATCAAGGTGATTACAGCACATGGGTGCTATGCGATGACAGCCATCACGGCGCTGACGGCGCAGAACACGTGTGGGGTGCGTGGGGTGCACATTGTACCACCCGAATTTCTGAGGAGCAGCTTGGAGGCCGTGCTGGAGGATGTGGGCGTGGATGTGGTCAAGACGGGTTAGTGATAGTTTGTGGTCGAGTGAGCGGTTGTGCTTGGGGGGATTGAGCTGATTGTGAGTTAGGAATGCTGGCGGGAGAGGAGACGGTGAAAGTCGTGGCGGAGGTATTGAAGAAGTATAAGCTGGAGAGGACGGTTATCGATCCTGTATAATGTTGCCCGTCCCACTACTTGAAAGCTTAACTCGCTAACTCTCCACCCCCCCAGGTCATGGTCTCCACATCTGGTTCAGAGCTCCTCCCGACCTCCGCCGTCGCAGCGTTCATAGAGCACATATTCCCGCACACTTATCTCCTGACGCCTAACATACCTGAAGCTAAACTCCTCCTCTCAACACTCAATTTTGCCGTGGACGCCGTTACCTCCGTCGAGACCGTTATCGAGATCGCAAAGGCGTTGCAAGCCCTCGGGCCTAAGAACATCCTGTTGAAGGGTGGCCATATACCTTTTCGAAAAATTGGAACAAAGTACTATGTTGCGGAGAAGGAAGAGGAGAAGGAGGTCGTGGTTGATGTGTTGGTGGTAGAAGGGGGCACGGCCGTGTGTGTCGAGAGTCCATACGTGGATAGCAAAAATACGCATGGGACGGGGTGCTCGCTGGCTTGTATGGGGTGTTCATTCTTTGTGCTTCTGGGTACTTACTGAGTTTTCTACACAGCATCAATTGCGGCGAATCTGGCGAGAGGGTTCACTTTGGAGGACGCTGTGAGGGCAGCGTGCAATTACATTTCTGCGGCAATTAGGACCTCATTCTCAGGAATTGGGAAGGGACATGGCCCAATCAATCACCTGCACAGCAATTATGTTCTGCCATTTGCGCCGTATTGACCTCCGCCCCTGCTGCTAATTCTACCGCTATTGCCTGGGGCTGACTTGAATGGATCCAAGAGGACATTTTGTAGACTACCTACTCAATCACCCCAAGGTCAAGAGCCACTGGCACGACTACACGCACCATGACTTTGTCAACCAATTGGGTGCAGGGACGCTGGATAAGGAGTGCTTCAAGCACTATTTGATGCAGGATTATTTGTTCCTTGTGAGTTGTGTCCTCATTATTTTTAGTGGTGGTCTTCGGTCGTACATTGGTCATATAGGATCGTGGGGTAATGACTTTATTTTCATTATCATTGGCACCCTCCGTGGCCAATATATGATGCGGAATTGTTGGTACTGTACAAATCATATCGAGGGGTCTTTTGGGGTCCGGCATAAGGCATAGCACTAGGTGGTGTGTACCATACTTGATCACAAACGATCTCTCGATATCGCTTGTATCCCAATTCCAATTGCAATTGCAATTGAATAGTCCTGTTTGCAGGACGTTTCGGGGTTGTATTGGGTTTGCATGTGAATTGATCTCATACCACCCAATTCACTTCCCCTCAACCCCCATATTTCGCTAACCCCGCCAGATCCAATTCGCCCGCGCCAACGCCCTCGCTGGCTACAAGGGCACAACCATCAGCGACCTCTCCAAAGCAGCTACCATCATCCACTATGTCGAGCGCGAGATGACCCTCCATACCAGCTACTGCGCCAGTTTCGGCATCACCCAGTCGCAAATGGACTCCACCACCGAGTCGAAATCTTGTACGGCCTACACGCGCTACGTGCTCGACATTGGTCAGACGCAGGACTACTTTGCGTTGCAGGTCGCCATGGCGCCATGTCTGCTGGGTTACCGCCATGTCGCAGTGCGCCTTGAGAAGGAGTACTCCGCCACCGCCCAGGAGAATATGTACTGGAAGTGGGTGCAGAGTTATGCGGGTGATGACTATGGCGGTGCGTATCGTGAGGGGAGAGGTGAGTTTCATGTTTTCCCCCTGTTTTGCTGTTTCCAATTGCAATTACCATTGAGTACTAAAAGGTGGGTGTGCTGGTAGAACTGCTAGAGAAGTATGCCATCAAACAGAGTGCCAGCAGGATTAAAGAGTTGGTTGAGGTGTTTTCGAAAGCCACCAAGGTACATTGCCGTTCATCTGATGTTTTGAAGTAACCCTAACCCTATTGGATAAGAAATAATGGAAGCTGATAATTAATGGTGGGGAAGCTGGAGGAGGGGTTCTGGACTATGGGGTTGGAGAGGATGTAGGTAGGCTGTGCCCCACGGGGGTAGATCGAGGGTTCTAGCTACAAAGCTTTGGCAGTATTCATTGCTGAAATTGCATATCGCGGGAGCCGTTCTGAACCAGAACATGCAAATACTTTTCTAGAACATCTTGGCAGACGTCAAGTTCTCAGCCTTATCCTTGATTTTGTTGCACTTTTTTTTTTTTGACGTGAATCGCGAGTGACAATGTCAGACCATGACGGCAGAGATGATGCTGATGAGAGGAGCGCTTTACAAGGCTTGCCTTTCTTGAGCAATTAAAAACGGTGGTAGACGCGCAGTGAGCGCTCACGGGGGAGGCATCGTTGTAAACAAACATTGTCTTGGCGCAATCCGTGAAATCGTTGGAGACCACATTTCAATTCTTAAGATTCTTCTGTAGTGTTTTGTTTGAGATATTCCCTTCGCACAATTCGCAAAGATCGGAGAATTAGAGGGGGGAAAGGAGGCTCTTTTTCCTTTTCTCCTGTTTTGCAAAATTTTCATCGGTGACGATATACATATGTATTTCGTTATTCTCATAATATTTCATGCTGTCTATGCATGCTGCAATAATTCCAAATTCCAATTCCCCTAAAGTTATATTAAAGCGGTAGCTCCGAACTCTATCTCTCAAATACCACTCATACCCAGAGGGCCGGGCGGATCTCTATCTAGTGTGGAGATGGAAGGCTGTTCCGATAATGCCTTACACGATCCGATCTATCACATCTCGGCATACTGACATTTTTGGACTCGGCTGGCCTTGGCCTTGGCGCGTTTTCGCTATGTATTCAATAGCAGCCCAATTTTAAAAAGGTCAGTGCATGTTGAGTAGGTATATGCCGAGTGACAGAACATGACGGACTTTCGCGCTTGTCATACCGCCTTAATTGGTGAAATCGGACAAACTACTAGCAATAAGAGTAACTAGAATAACCTTAGATGGTTCCCGCTTACTATGTATTATTAATTTTTCAAAGATTTTGCAGAGGGTTCATGGGTTTATTTTTGAGGTTCTAAAATAAACCGCGATAGCGCTAGCGACCACGAATGTGCGCAGCATGTGTGTGGTAGGACAAGCGCGCAACGACGAATTCGGATATGCGCATGGACACGACGCGGCACCATAGAATTAAGCCATCAGAGCTGAGACAGAACAGGCAGTCATTGGCTAGCCTACGTACTTCAATCTTACACATTTATTTCTTTGGATCTCGGTTGAGTTGATTCTTTTTCTACCCCATACCTACATGTACGTTACCCCATACCTACACTGATAACCCCCGAGCTCCCTCGTGTGTAACATATGTAATAACTGTAAAATCTGGTCGAGTAAGGTTACTTATACCGACTGGGCTGCGCACCGTTCATGCTCGTCGTTGGGCCATTCATAATGATATTAACAGTAATTTATTGGTGGAGTGTAGGTTATATAGCCTGTCGAGAATGATTGAATGCGGATCGATCTTCGGAATCTACTCTACACAACGAACCATGTACATACCAACAACAGCCACCGCCACTACAATTGCAACTAGCTAGCTACATGACATGGACCCACAACAACAACCGCACATCCACCTCATATTCCAGAGGCCGCGGGACGGTCCGCCCGGTGGGATTGGAAATCGTTGATGTGGGTAGGTATGTAGATAGGATCGAGTCGATATGATATGTGTATGTATATGCAGATCTAGAAGGTACAAGCAAAACAAAGCGAAATACGAAACAAAAAAGAAAAGAAAAGGATCATGGAGCTAAGCTGAGAAATTATTAGCTAGAGAAAGAGCCGCACAGCTAGCATTCAATACTATGGGGCTAATATGGACCAAATTAACCCCCCCCTCCCCCTCTTCTCTTCAAAGCGCACTGCCTTTCTACAATTGAGAAAATTGCCTGAACGAGAACAAGGGCGGAGGTGCCCTCCCCCCCACAGAACGCATGTATCTATACACTACAACAGCACTTTTTTTCGGGGTGTGGTGCATGGTGGGATTCCCGTGCTCCATAATTACCAACCACTGGCAGCTAGCATTCGGCGTCGATAGCCCCATCATTATTTCTTCCCGTTGCCTTCCATCTCCAACACTGGAACAAAGCAAAGCATAATACGAGAATGAGTATTTTCACCACCCGTGGGACACTCTATCCAGGCCCACCGAAACCTCATGGTAATAACGATTCCCCGCCGCGCATCTTTGCTAAGCCCTATCGACTCGAGAAGCCTACTGACATCACATGTTATAATTGCAGCCGAGTGGACTTGACGGAGTGCTCAGTACTTTGTTATTGTTATTATTTTTTCTGGACCCAGCACATGAAGTCAATAATGATTGAGAAGGGCTAGCCAGGCTTAGCTAGGCTTCGCACCCTACTGCCATCCCAAGCTAGTCCGGTCATTTCCCATCACTCGGGGGCAATGGCCAGTTGAGATTGATACCTACTAGGCCTCACTTGACTACTTCTCGGAGTCTTAGAGCTGGATAGGAGTAGTTGTGTTCTGGCTGGCTGGAGCAATACAATACGGTACACTGAGGCCGGCGCTGAGCGAGGCGAGAAACGACGCAGCTCATTCCGGGATGGCGAGAACCGCCACTATAGGGAATATCAATTACGATCCGTAAGTAAGGGTGGCCCCCCCGGGGGGGGGGGGGGGAGGGGAAGGAAAGCAAATTGCAAAAGCTGCGCGTGAACATGCGCAGGAGGCTCCTTCATGTCGGCAGGATGAGGGGGACGCGGTAGGTTACATCGAGGATTTCTCGAAAACGTTCTAATGATATGTAGGGCAAGCCAAGCGTTTGGTCCATATATGGTGCGTGCGCGGGTGGTATAATCTGAGCCGGGGAATAGACCGGACTATCGGGCACTCAATGAGCGCAAGCCGGGCATCGGTGTCAATGCCTTGGAAACGTGGTTTATAAACGTCCCGGAATACAGGAGAGGGTGCGTATTTTCTTGAGCGGGTCAATTTGTCTGGGTCACGGTCCCAGAGGAAACATCAATGCTTTGCATCAAGACTACGACGAATCCCGAAAAACCCTGCGAGGAGTGCGTTATATTTCGATGAAACGGTATTGGTACTGCGTAGTAATTGCGACGATTCAATGCTCAGGGAAATGCCGTGTAGGCTCTAGTACTCGGGCAGCAGTTGTATTGCCTTGCAATTTCGCATCAACTTTACGCTGAAATTGGGGAAGACTGCGGTGTTAAACCTGACGGCGGGGGCAAGAAGTGCGTGATGGCTCAGTGGAAGCGGCGGTATCAGCGCAATTCCAGAATTGCAATCAGAAATGCCTTTCTCATCCAGTGGTAATCCGGAAGGTTATAGTAGAGTGGAGAATCTGGTCCAGCCGATCATATTGCTGGGGAATTATCCTGACAGCTAGCTAGCATCAACTCCTTGCGCCAGAGTTATGCCCCGCCTGTCTCCGGGTCGCCGAGATGTGTGGTTTCCGGTGACGCGGTCTAGCTTGGGCATAGTAAGGGTTAATATGTTGCATTTTCTACGCCGAAAATTCAGTATCTCAATGTTAAGAATCCGCTACATTACTCGATGGGCAGTATTCCTGAATACATTGAGTAAAGTGGAACAGCGGCGCGTGAGATAAGATGGCTCGATCATTTGCTCTACAAGCTGCCTGAAAGCCGGTATCAGGGCTTGTCGACTGAGATCATCCAGAGATAGTGAGTCAATTATCAAGCGTTCCATTCCGGATATTCGATGCTTTGGATACTGTAGGTTATGGCATGGATGGACAAGCCTTGAACGATTGACGATGCCGATTGGAGGGTACATACCTCAATCATAGGATCGAATCAGAACTTCAAGGTCGAGGCTTAGGTGCCGGATAACTCTTATCTACGCGGATTCGAAATTCCGTAGCAAAACGCATGTATCTAGACGTTGACTTTCGTCTGAGTGTTTACAAACCCTTACACGTCCAATCGTTAAAACCACTAATAAACGGGTCGGACGTACATCAGGAGAATAGTGCGCTACTTTCTAGGAGTCGATTGCTCGGTCACGGCTCAAGATATTCGGGGCTTGTAATGAGGCCGATGTGTCATTCGAAGGACACTAGGTGGACATCTACACCCGATATTGCAAAGTCGATTATGGACTTAGGCATTCAAAGATTGCCACGTGCGGAGTGGAGGAGCTTGAACCTTTACTCACACCGACTTGGTACTGCAACGCTCTATTGAATGGAGAGATATTCGATTGTGGTCGAGAGACTAGGCTCGGAGAACGTCCTGTAGGATACCGAGATAAGCCGATATACCAAGAGAAGGTTAACACTGAAGCCTTATAGGGGAGGGCTTTCATCAATCAAGAAACCTAGACCTAAGGTGCCTAAACTGGATATCATGGATGTTCGGGGTATTAGTGCACTATAGTCTGGACTTAATGGCTTGTTGTGATGAGGCTGGTACAAGGCTAAGGATTCGAAGCTTGCATTGCACAAGGCAGGCAAGCCGTGATAAACTGGCAGTAACCTTTATCGAGAGGTTAGCCTTTGCGTTGTATAGTTAACCTCCGAAATTTACCAGAGGGACCCTTCGACATGCATCATCAACTGGATAAAGCGTGGTGAAAGGTCAATAGCAGTAAGTACATTGGCCCCATAAATATCTCAGTGAATAAATGAGATAGCTTGAGCTGTTTGACGCCTTACTTCGCAGCGGGGGGCTTTGGGCTTACCGGGACAGACTAGGAGCTTGAGGTGTTGTCCATAATCAGGTGAAGAAGCCATCGATTCATATCCTTGCAGGTTTGCATTGTGACAGTAGGCATTCTAATGAGGAGTCACCAGCGCGTTGACAAATATCTTGCGGTGTTGGCTTGGAGCCAATATACTTGATATTCCTCTTCACTAACTGCCGTTGGGAGTTGGGACTAACATGGTATATGCTAGGAAGCGATTTTATCAGCACCATGTACAGTATTGGTGCGCAGCGTCTATAGCGTATTCTTTGGTGAGTACCCATGGGGTCCAATA